TATGTGAGAAGTCTACCTTGTGGTGCTGCCCATGTTGATGCTTTCTGCTGCTCGGCTGAAGCTTGTTTTGGAGAACAGCATTTTCCCTCCCACCTGCAGGAGGGTTTGTGCTGCTTTTCGTCTTATGGAGGGGCATGTGGCCTCGCTCTGCTCGTTCATTTGAGAGCAAGAAACAGCAGGGATTTGGGTCTGTATGGTCTCTCACGGCTTACTGGGAGTGGAGATGTGACCCACAGAGTACATCTCAGGCCTCTTGGTCCTGACTGCTGCAGTTTGGATTTGTGGGTGGCGTAAAGATGCTTGTCATGATCCCAGCAGGTACGTGAAACTTCAGGTTTGATTTTAGGAATGAGCATGTTTCTGACGGCAAGACAATTACGCAAGTATGGCCTTCGTTGCTTTAAAGTAGGCAGGGGTGGGTTTGAGCAGGTCATGCCAAAAATAAGTTGAACCTTATCCATGTGTCCTCTGCAAGCCAAGTTCTGCCTGTAGCACACATCCATCCCATCTCTTTACAGAGCTAAAAGTCATTGGCTGTGGTGGGTATGGACATGGCAGAGGGTTTTGCTGGTCTGCCTTCTCAAGCTCTAACTAGCTACTCTTCTCTTCCTTCAGTGCTGTCTTATACCAGGAGCTCAGTACATCGGGAAATGGAGGTGCCCAGCCGTCTGCCTTTCCACAGGCAAGACTGGAGAGTTTCTTCTCTCTAGTTGTCTATCCCAATTAGCATCAAATCCCTGAGAGGGGTATGAACAATTTTATCCTCAGCTCTCTAATAGCAGCAACTGATGGAGCATCATCACAGGTGGCTGTTTTGAGGTATAGCCTGCTGCTGCCGCAGGGAAGTTCAACATCTCCTGGCACTGTGTATGTGTTGACTGCTTGACTTCCTCACCCAGCCGGGCTGCGGCTCGTTGTACCCTGGCTTCGTTCCCTCTTGGTTGTTAGCAAAGTCCTGCCTCATCTAGGTTGACCCCTGCAACTGGCTGTAGTGCTTCTGTAGATAACTTCTGTCTGGGCAAGAGCTTACTTTTTTTTAATATGGTTAATTGTGATATAGAAATGGGCAGTGGTGGAAAATCCACCGTGTCTTTTTGTTAGGCCCTAGCTCTGGCTAACTAACCCAACTTAAAAACACGTACTTTACCTGCCTTGACTGACATCCCTTATCTGTGTCTTCTAGGATGACTTTGCTTCTTCAGGTCATTATCCAAGGAGATCTCTGGTTCTCATCTCAAACAGATGATCATCTTGTTTGCGTTCCCCTTCACCAGCCTTCTCCTCTTGGGACATTCCCATGGCTTTCCTTGTTCCGTGCTGGATCCAAATCCTTCAGGAAGTCCCTGTGCATTTGGGCACATCAGGACATGGTTGAGGCTTTGTTCTTTGGTGCAAAACATGATTTATTTTGACTGCTGGCCTGTCCCCGAGTGCTGCGATCTGGGAGATGTGCAGCTGCCTGTGGGGTTGGAGCCTTTGCAGACAGGTCCGTGGCAGCTCCTGCATTCATGCCTGCAAAGTTTTAAGGGTGAGTTTGTGCAGGGCTGCTCATGTTTTGGAGAGGAGTATTACAGCTTGGTGTCTTATGTTGAAGTCATCACCTACCTTTCTGCAGTGATGTATGGCGGTCTTGAGAGTTTAACGTGTTTTTCTTCTCATTTTATTCTGGATAGACCACAGAGATAGGGTTTCTTGTGGCAGTATCCCATGTAAGTCTCATGTTCTCCTGCCTTGCACACATCTTTTAACCTAGAAGTTCATGGGCTAGCAAGTTCAGCAGAGCTATCAGACTACTGTAGTCAGTTCTGCTTCCTTCTAGTCCCACCATCCAACTCAGGAATGAAGACTTCAAGAAGGAAGGAAGACTTTGCCAGTCATCCCTATATGTCCTACAACCACTCCAGGCTTCAAAAGCCGTTTCTTTTGTCCCACTATAGTTCCATCTCGTGTTGCATGATGAGGGAGGAAGCTATTTGATACTGCTGTTCTTAATTTGGGATGCAAAGCCAAGATCTCCCCTCTCCCATTAAGTAAAAGAGCATCTCCAGAGCTGCATATTGTGCTAAGTGGTGCTCTCTGCCATCGGGAGCCCTTCTAGGCCAGCTGCTATCATTTAATTGACTTAAATAGATGAATGTAGACATGCCTATAGACCACCTCACTGCTCTACAGAGCCCATAGCATCTCCCTGAGTACAAGGATGTCTTGAATCAAGGACCTAGAGTTTCTTGTGTTGGACCATCTCTGGGGTTATAAAAAGCTTGCTGTGGTGTGATTCTCCCTCGTTTTTTTGCTTGGGGGAGGGCCGTGTCCACAGCCTTCCTCAAAGTCAATTTCTAAGGCTTTTTTGATTGTCATGCTGCAGTTCCTGCAGAGTGATCGGTTCTCCGGTGACTTCGCTTGTAGAGAAGATGAGGGATTGTAAGTTAGAAATGGTGAGAAAATCCACGTTGAGCTTTTTGACTGTCTCCTCCTTTGGATTTCATATTTATAAATTAAGCGGGGATAATCTGTCTTCGTATTGCAGGCAGCGTTGCAGAACAGTAAGCAAAAGCCCCGGTCTCTTCCAGTCTGTGCAGTCACTGGGCAGTTATCAGGTCTGTTTTCAGTTACTTGTCGTAAATTTACCGGTTTGTTGTCTGTCTGTATCAATATATGTATGTGCACTTTAGGAACCACGGAGCAGGAGTTGAGCTGGACACCAGGAGGAGTAGAGGAGGTGCGTAAGAAAAACCTAGATCTTAAATTTTGGCAACCGGAATAACCTGCTGGGAGAAAGGTGTCTGAACCATTGAGTGCTATATAATATCCAGGGGAGATTTCCTGAAGTCCCAGCAATTATTTAGGTCTTACAGGGGTCTCTGAAGGAAATCACTGTGGGAGGTACAGGCAACTGCAGAGAGTGGCATCGATGTGGTCCACCTCACCCCTGTCACGCAGAAGCCTGTGGGCATCCGTGAAACGGGGCTGACCCATGTTACTCAGAGGTGAACATCACTTAAAGAAGTGGTAGGGCTGCCTGTTGGAGAAACTTGACAGTGCCTCCAAGAAAAGAAGAGCTAGTGGGTATCTCTCTTCTCCAGGAAACAAGACCAAGGAGCCACCGTCTGCTTGGCCACAGGCCTTCTGATGCTTTTTGAAAGCACCAAACTTGAGATTATTTCACTCAAATTTTAGGTTATCTGCTGCCAAAAGTGGAGGTAAAAGATGGCTCACACAGCCAGGTCCAGAAGCATCTAGTCAGTAACCTCAAAAGTGCCCTTGACTTGCAAGAGTGGTGATCAGCAAGAGTATTGCTCATTTGGTTTTGCCCCCTTTCTGCGTTGCTCCCTTTAATTCTTGTACTAGTCTCCGTTGTTTTGATGCTAAATTATTTTCACGGTGCAATAAGCCAGTTTGCAGCCTGAATTAAATTACTACTGAGCTACAACCCAGTGTGAGATACTCAATGACTCCATCTGTAGGGAGAGATGTTTTGAAGCACACACTTAAAATAGAACAAGTGGCTGTGGATGTCAAGCATTCCCAAGAGGGTTTGGCCAAGGGTATTGATGTTTTTTGGTTAACTGTGCTGGAGATGGTTTGTTTAGCTTAAAGGCTGCTAATAAATTCAGCTAGAGGCTCTAAATCTGCGGTTTACTCTGATGGATAAGCTGAGACAGATGTAAGAACCAGGGTTTGGGAAATATAGTTCAAAAAAATCTGACTTGGGTGGATTTTAGAAAGAGTCTGGGAGTGGAACAAGTTTTCCTGCATGGCTCCATGAGATTTGAGCTGAAAGAAGAGAAGTTGGAGTGTAAAAGCTGGGCAATGCGCCCCCCAGTGTGCTTTTCCAGGGCAAACTGGTCCATTTAAAACTGCCTCGATGTTCGCAAGGGGTTCTTGTTGCCAAATTTTAACAAATAAATTTATCTGTACCCCTCAGCCCTAGGGAACACAGTTTGCCTGCAGTGAATATTGTCACGTTTCGTGGCTGGGTCCTTGGTTCCATGTTGAAGTAGCCATTTGGTTTTGACCCTGCTTGCAGGCAAAAACTTAAAATTTGGGGGTAGAATCAGGTAGGGTTCCACTTTCAACCACTGAATAATTCTGGTCTTATTGCTGCCTGTGTATTTATATGGTGTGGGGGTTTTTTATTTTTTGTTCTCTTTGTGTGTGTGTTGTTTTTGGGGGGTTTTTTGTTTGTTTGTTTGTTTTTTTTTTTTTTAAACAGCAGGGTAAAACTGACTTGCTGCTTAGCAGTTTTGCTTCTGCTCCCAGGGCCCTGAATATTGTGAAGAAACTGGTTAGAAACTAATTCCTTTCATGCTGATGCTGTTAAACCAGTTATATCAGGAGCATTAGGCAGGTTCAAGCTTTCTGGAAAAGGTGCCTTTTGGGGAAAAAAAAACAAGAGGTTTTTGCAGTTATGTGTGCCTGAAAGTCTATTACAGTCTTCTTCCAGAAAGTAAGGCAACAGGACTAGTTCTTCCCCAAATTAATGCCTCTCGAACTCCAGAGATGGCTTTGCCATTCAAGCTAGAACCTGAGCGATCTAAGAAATTTAATATGGAAAAAAAAAAATGTTCTCTAGTAGTCTACCAATCCAAAACCCATCAAGATCCATCAAACCTGGGGCGCATCATTATCTTTCAAAAATAGAGTGGTGGTAGAATTAAATCCACATTGAGGGATGCACATAAAGATTTTTGATTTTTTTTTTTTTGAATGTTGCTCCAGATTAGGGGAGAAATGTGGATGGAAATCGTAGGCTTATATGGTTTTGCCTTGCTGTCACACAGCGAGCACGGTGCACCGGCTTGACTGTCGGTGCAGGATGCTAAAAGGATCACCAAAAGTAGACCAGGTTTTTGCATCTGTCTGTCTGGAAGGTTTTGGCCTCAGCACTGTTTTTAAAGGCTTATTAGGCAGAGCTGTCTTAGTACTGTTTCTTACTTAATGCTTGATATCAAAGTCTGGGAATTTGGAGCATTATTGATTTGACCTCTTTTAAATTTCAGCAGCTTCACAAGAGACAGAGTGAGTTAGTAAGGAATGCAAAATATGTAAGTAATATACATTTTCCTAGCTGAATAGCTTAGGCATATACATTTTTTACCTTGTGTCTTTTTACCAGAGTAAGGAAAGTTGGACCATCTTTGCTTTGGGGGACTCTTCTTTCTCTTTTCCTTTCTCTCTCCTCCTCGCTTCACCTTCTCCAAGCTGTGGGCACAACACCAGCTCTGCTTTCTCCTCCTCGTAGTAGGTGTGCATTTTCTTGGCTGGTTGGTATCTCTGACTGGGGGTCTCTTGGTATTATTTTTTTTTTTTTCCCCCCCCCTATGTTACATAGCAGATCTGGGGATTTTTTTTTTTTTAAGTGGGGAAGAGAATAAATCACCTGAGTTAAATCTGATGAACCTGTAGCTGCTACGCAACTTTGTCCTGTGTCATGGATGTAAATGCTAAATCACTGCAGTGGGAACGTCGGATACGTACGATGCTTCCTGGCGGGCGTAGATTAATTTGGGAGCATTGCATTTAGCTTGTGAGTGTGGGGCAAATCCTGATAAGCAGAAGCTAAAAAACAAACCAAAAAAAAAAAAAAAAAAAAACCCACCAAACCCTAAACTCTGCCTAGCAGCTGTGTAACTGCAAGTGAATGTGTGCTCTTCCAAGCTGTTGCCACATGATTAACGCGCCTTTTTTTCTGTCTTAGACCCTTCGCAGGTGCTACAGCCGGGTGAAGGAGCATGGGGTTGGGAAGAGGAAAAGCAGCTACACGTTTGAACAGCTGGAGCAGGTGTTTGGGCAGGGAGGATGGGACTCCCAGCCCTGCCAGCCTGTCCTCATCAACAGCAGCGGCTTGTACCAGGAGCTGGAGTCGGACGGCAGCACGATGGAGGAGTATTCGCAGGAGGACTGGGGAAACCACAGTCAGGATCTTCATTGCTACCAGACTGGTGAACAGGAATTGGGTAAGAAATCACATCTTGGTGCATCTTCCATCCTCTGATTTTACCTGTGCTCCGTGCTTATACCTATCTCACATACATATCTCAGTGCCAGCTTTCATGTTTTGGACATAATGTGCTCACGGTGCTAAACACTTGATGTCCTTGGGGAGAAAAGGGAAGGAGGATTCCCCAGTTCATCATCAAAAGCAAACTGTGGTTCCCGGAGTATTTTGGGAGCGGGACTTGAGTTTAAAGAGCCTAGCAGGGGGAAAGAAGGGATGTGTGGCCAGAAACAGTGGAAGGGGAGGTGACATGTTCCCTGTCTCTCCTTCCCCTGCTCAGTTTTACTTCCCCTCATGGTGTTGGGGAGGCGTTTTTCCTTTCAGTGGTACCCTGCTTTTGGAGGTCCTTGAGCACCAGCTGAACCTGTGTGTTACCATTCAAACACAGTTCAAACTACTGCTATTAATACCAATGACTATAAAAACAAATGTTGCTGCTTCTTCCTATATTCCCTAACTGGTGTGTTTGTTTTAAACATGTAAATATGCTTATATACAGATGTTGGCCTTTTTTAAATGAAAAAAAAGGCAAACAAACTCACACTTCCAGATTGAGACCTAAACCAAACCCCTCTGCATGCTTTTCTTGCCTGAATTATTGGTGTCTCTGCATAAGAATCAAGATGTTAATTAATCTGGAGATTTGGTTGTTGCTGGTGGATTACTGAGCTTTGTTAAATCGAGCAAGGTACCACGTACTTAATTGAAAACGCACACTGATCTGAACATTTTTGTGAAGTGGGTTTCTTTAAGCATAGGTATATCTCCTGAGTCAGTGATCTTATGGGTGCGTGTTCCTGCCTTGCCTGAGCAAGGGGGTTATTTTCATGGCTGAAACTTATAAGTTGATCAAATTCAGCGGAGACCCAAGCAAAGGGGTAGTTAGAAGGTGAATTGGAAAAAGGCTCTTGGTGCAACGAGGTTTTTTTTTCCCCCTCATGATTTGTAGGATGAAGGAGGGAGAGGAGAGGCAGACACTTATCTGTACACATCTGTGTTCAGGGGACTGGTGAATTAAGATGCTTTGAAAGAGGCTTAAATCACAGTTTAGTGTTAAAATTTGCAAGTTGGCTGTTAACTACGTTCCAATTCTCTCAGACTTCTTCCCTGGGGGATTTAAAAGTCAGAAATATGTGGGGGAGAAATGGTGGGGAGAAGACGACATTACAAAACATATGTAAACGATGGCTAATTCTATCTAGTTTGACTCATTCTGGTGAGTCAAACTGTGGTCTCCTGGTTTGTCACCGTTTTCCTTCAGTCAAATCAGAGACATTTGTGTGCACTTGGGCTGATGATATTCTTAATGTTCAGAGAAGTTATGAGAAAAGCACTTAGCACACAACATCTAAATGGAATACAGATGCATTTGTTCTGGTGCTTGCTCTTCAAATGTGCCATTGAAAGCAGAATAGCCTTTTTTCTTTCTGTTCCTCTTTTTTTTTTTTTTTTTTTATTAAACAATGCAGTGTGCAATTAAATTGATTTGTGATTTAATAGCAGGAATTGTAGTCTTGTCCTTGAAAGGTTTTGCACTTGCAGAGATAGATTCAGGTCTTAACTGACCATGTCTCTTCCAACGAAAAAAAAATATTATTCAGTTACAGAGGATTTAGGAACTGGAGCTCTCTTGTGCAGAACTCTAATGGACTGACTGGCTTAGGAAGCAACCCTGATTATTTTTTTTTTAAATTTAATTTCAGCATTTAAAAAAAAAGAAAAAAAGCCCCAGGAACATTATTTAAAATATAATTATGTGTTGGAATTTTACCTTTCAGATGAAATGCCTACCACCAAAAGAACATTAAAGATAAAACAGGAATCTTCAGAAGACACGCAGTAAGTAATTTATGAATGTTTTACCCTGGAATGTATTTCCCTGGGGATGTTGTGCAGGAGGGGAGGATATTTGAAACTTCTGATTATAATTATAAATACATTGTGAAAGACTATTCATACAGTTGAATCTGCTTTATGCATTATTCCAGTTACCTCAGAACATCTGAAAAGCTTCACAACTCTGTTACTTCTTGGCTTCAGCGTCATTCAGCAAATGAAACGACTTACTATGTGAATGCAAGGACTTTAAAATGCGGATAAAATACACGTCAGATTCATTAGGGATGTGTGTGGGCAGGCTGCAGGTATCGTGACACAAGGCCATGCTCTTGGATCTATTTGTAATCTGTTGTTCTCTCCATCTGCCTGAAGTTTGCCCCTTTAGACGTAAGGAAAAAAGAGAATATAGGAGGAATGGAGGGAAAAAAAGTGAGAAGAGGGCCGCAGCACCCTGGTAATAGTGTGTACTGTTGGCTTGGTGTGAGTAATGCTTACAAGAGAAGTTCATGCATTTCCCTTCCTTGGTGGGAAGGCATGCCAAAGCTTGAGATTTTTCTTCTTTTTATAACTTTCCAGAGCTGACTCGAAACCTTTTGGATTGGTTTAATCTGACAAATACTGGAGTGTTGCAAATGCTTTGAGCATGTGAATCTCCCTTGCCTCGCCAACAATAACACAGAGCATTTCAAAAAAAATGAAAAGAATTGTGCTGTATTTACTCAGACCAGGGCTACTTTCTTCCAACCTTTAGGGTTTTAAAACCCACGGGGTGGTTGTAGAGCCGTCTGTGATAGGAGTGAGCCATCGCGGATTGGCTGGCAGACCCTTCTGAGTGGCTTTCACACAGGAGCTCCCCACGAGCAATTTGTAGTGTCATCTGAAGTCAATCTGGTATTTCCTATGCTGGAAAACGAGCTGCTGGAGGGTGGGAAGTCATCAGCACTGTGTATGTTAACACAGTGTCCGTGGTTAGTAATACAACAGAGACTTTTTACTGTAGCTAAATGAAAACAAATCCTCCAAAACCTAAAAAAATAAGAGAGTAATAAAAAAAAAGAAGCTTCCATTGCAATGGCCTAGCTTCATCAAATTCCTCCCTTGAGATGGATTTTGGTGGTACCTGAATGTGACTTTTTTTCTTAACATGGAGCAAATTCAGTTTAGCAACTCAGGGATGACCTGGGGAAAAAATAATGTTTTTCAGTATAAATGTTACTATTGCCTCTTTGAACAGTTTCTTAGGACTCTTCTGGGATAATTTTACCTATCAAGGTGTGCTCTAGGGAGATGGGTAGGAAATAATCCTGTATTTTCTCATGTGGGGGTTTGGGCTGCCTGAATCTTCTGTTCCAGGTTGTGATGGTTTAAACCAGGCCGGCAGCCCAGCACCACACAGCCTGCTCGCTCACCTTCCCCTTCCCTGGGGAATGGGGGAGAGAGTGGGAGGGGTGAGGAGACTCGTAGGTTGAGATAAAAACAAGTTAATAATTTCAATAAAATAAAAGAGTAATTTTACTATATAAGAAAAATAATAATGACAGAAAATACAAATGGGTAATGCACAGTGCGATTGCTCAGCACCCACTGACCGATGCCCAGCCCGTTCCTGGCCAGTGATCCCAGAGAAGAGAGAATCCTGAAACCACCATCCCAAAAACCTGAGTGGAGCTTCTGGATCAACCCTTATCTATACACTGAGCATGACGTTACAGGATATGGAATATTCCCTTGGCCAGTTTGGGTCCGGTGCTCTGGCCAGTGATCCTCCCCAGCTTCTTGTGCACCTGTACACAGGCAGGACACGAGTTGCAAAGTTCTGGATTTCTTTGCAACAACTGAAAACATCAGTGTGTTATCAGCATTCTTCTCATACTAAATCCCTCACTGAATCCAAACCCCAGCACTGTTCTAGCTACTGAGAAGGAAGGGAGAAAAAAAAAACAATTCTATCCCAGCCAGCACCAGGACATAGGTTTTGATGTGTAGATGGATGGCTGGATTGGATTTGGTAGACTAGACCTTTCAGACTTTTCTGGTGTGTGTTTTTTGTTTGTTTTTTTTTTTTATCCCCAAGTTCTGTCTAAAATGCACAGAAGTCTCTGAACTCCCGGGCATCTTGTGAAGCCTGCAAGTGATAAGCCCATCTTACGTGCTCAGTGGAAGCACAAAGTATCTTCCAACACAGAGATTTGCTGAAAACTGCTTTCCCCTCACCCGGCCTCTGTGAGAGCAAAGAACTTTTAAACTCTTAGTAGATTAAAAGCAGTCAGGATAAATGTGGCTGATACGAAGATAAGCTGGGTATTTATTATCTTCAAAAAACAGATTTGCATCTATTCTTAAAAGCCACAGATGATAAATAGATGCCAAAATTTTTCACATCTTTGGTCAGCGTTTTAAAATACATAAAACTTATTTTAAAGGAGGTCGGGCTTCATTTCATCTGCGTTCTTCATCTAGTGCAGATTTTCAGAAGAAATAATCTCAATAAAATGGAAGAGAGTGGCAGTGAGTTCGGATTCTCTGCTGAACCTTGTGCTGCACTTTCTGATGTGGAGAAATTGCAGTGTGGTGATGCTGGACTGCAGGCATGTGTTTGCATATTGCTAAAAATCCTGTCTTTGCTTCCCCCTTGCTGTCCCCTGGGATTTTTGGAAGGATTTTTTGGAGCTAAGCAACTCATAGTAAAACCACAGGAGCACTGTGATGTTATTTTTCTAGCAGAGAGGGTGGGAGAGTGCCACCAGGATACTTGCTATAGGAAACGTATTGCTGAGCTCTCCAGGTGCTGGAATTTATTCTGGCTCTTCTTTTCCTGATAAAACACACACGTGTGAGGCTGCTGTTGCTTCTCAACTGACCCCAAACCTGCAGAAACAGAGGGAGCTCACTTCACTCCTGCTGCCTGCAAGGGGTTGGGCTGCTCCTGCCAGCTCGGCCAGCGCCGGGACCTGATCCTGCACCAACAAACCTAACGTGCTGTATCTCCAAGCAAGCTGCACAGCACGTTAGCATGGACAAAGCTGCCTCTCTTAGCTCCAGGTAGTAAATAACCGGCCTCCAAAGACACACAAGGGGTTCCCTTATTTCCCGGGTTGCCCTGTTTTCGGCGGTGTAGGAAGAGAAGAGCAATAGGTAAGCTGTGTCCGGGTCCCGTGCTCCCTCAGCTGGACTCTCCCTCCCCACGTCAGCTCTGCTGTTGCATCCCTTTGGCACGCTGCTGCCTCCAAATAAACTGTTTTGAAAAGTGAAACACTACTTAAGACTCTGTTCTGCTATTTTAAATTTATTTGAGGAGCGGTTTTATTCACTGTGGGCTTTGTGAAGATGAACTAGAAAAAGCTTGGGGAGCTGGGTCCTTCACTGAAACCAGCTGTTTCAGCCTCTTTGAAGTCTGCTTTTGTTTGGAAACAGTGCCTTAGAACAAATTTGCACCATGTCTTGTCTCCCGTCTTTCCTCATTTGAATTGCAAAAGCTTCCGGGGAGAGAGAAATGCAGATGGCCAGTCTCCAGCACTGAGGTCGTGGTTTGATGGTAGAGTAAAATCCAGCTCTAGGGCACCTTCTGCAGATGAAAAATGAGATTGCCTTGTGCCGCACCGTGCTGATAGAGGATAAACCCTCTGCTAGCTCAGATTTTTCTATTGAAAAATAAATAATAGTAACAATTTGACTCTTACTGCTTATAATACCTGTGCTCGGCCAAGTCGTGGAGATGCTGGATAGAGCCTGGGAAAGTGAAGCTCAGCAGGGCAGCTACTGAGCCGTCGAGTCCTGGTGTAAGTGGGAAGAGGAGATGCCAAAACTGAAAAGCAGAGCTTTTTAATTTTTTTTTTTTTTTTTTCCCTATTGCTTCCTCTGTGCTCAAAGTGATGGATTCCCTCTGTGGAAAGCCCTTTTCTCCCCTACGTGAGGTGCTGCTGGAGATCAGCTCTAGTGAAATTATTCTTCTTCCCAGCAGGAGCAGTTTGAGTGACTAATTTTTTTTTTTTTCACCAAAGCTTCAGCTCTATTTTGTGCTGAACTAAACTTAGTGAGAATATTTATAGTGTAATTAATAAAGGTGGGAGCTTTTGAGCTTTTTTTTTTTTTTTGGTTCTTAGCTCTGTTCCTCCACTGTTGAATGAAAATCTACCCACGCTGCTTTCTCCTGTCTCTGGGTTTGGATGGGACTGCTTTCTTTAAAATTGAGTTCAGCTGTCTCTCTGGAGTCAAATGAGTTTATAACAGCGGTGAAACGCGGGCTCTGTGCTACCAAACAGCCCTGAGCCGAGCCAGCGCTGACTGTGTCCCCTTGTCTGTCTGCTCCCCAGGAGGTGAACTTGCACTTCCAAAAGTCTAAAAAAGACGTTTTACAAGCGTAGCAGTGCTGTGCTGCTCAGCGTCTGGAGAGCGTTGGGGAAGCTGTAGAGAAGCTTCAAAACAGTTCAGTAGTTTGTGTGTAAATATAAATGGATTTGGGTGTTTTTTTCTTGTACACTGTTTCTCTCCTTGCCTTCTTTGCTGCTGGGGGGAAGTGGAAATGACTCCTCAGAAGTAATGTAAAATAAGGAACAGGAGTTTATTGACGATGCAGCGGGTGTTTTTAAGAGCCCCTGGCTCAAACAGCTCTGCTTGCCGAGTAGGTCCCCTCCTTGGTGCTCTAGAAGCTCAGTTTTGCTCTGATTGTGGCAGAGATGCCCTGGCTAAAACGCCTTTTGAGGTCTATCCAGGAATGTTCTGGCGTGGCTGCTGCTGCTCCATAGTGTGGGGCAGAGCTTGGGCACCCCACCTGGGGTTTGCAGATCGCATGTGCCCCGACCACCCTGCGTGCAACTGCTCGACGCTGAGCCCACGGCCTTCGGTCCGCGCGTGGAGTCGCTGGGTCACCTAAAACACAACCAGCACGTGGAGAACCTTCCCCAAATCACATCGGTTAGATTTACACCTAGAACAGCAAGCTTTTGAGACGAGAGGCCGTGAGGTTGGACCTCTCCAGCACCATGGGAAGGGTCTGCAGCTCCTAAACCTTTTTTTTTTCTTTGAATCCTTCTATCAGTATGACGGAAAGAGAGGCCGCCTGCTCCACGCAGGGATTTAGTGGGCAGAAACGCAGCTGCCGGAGTCTCAACTCCAGGTGTATCCTTGTGCAGTTTGTGGGGGGTCACATCTGCTCTTGCTTGAAGACCTTCGTGTCCCTCACCGGTCTGATGCCCCGACTCTTGGTGGGAGCTGTTGGGAAAAGCTGCTTTGAGGGAGTTCAAGCGATCTTCACGAATGCAGCGAAGGAACACACGAGAGGGGGGAAGTTGGTGCGTGTCCCGCGGAGGAAGAAAACTGCTGTTGCCTGGGTACAGGGACTAAAGATGCAGTATCTTCTCCCAGAGATCAGAGGAGGAAAGATCTCCTCGGGGGGCGTGCTGACACCCATGCGAGTGCAGTTCAGCTTTACAGACGCGACGCAACAGAAAAAAAGGGAGGAGAGTTGCGTGGAGCAAGATTTGAAATCCCATTTGTTGGACCAAGAGAGATTTCTCCATTTCCAAACGAGTTGCGTTATCTTCCTACAGCTTTGATTATAGGACAGTAACTCCTAAAATTAGTAGTTTCTCCCTGCTTGCTAATTACGCCCTAAGTGTCTCATTCATCCTGGAGGAAGCTGTTGCAGCTTGCTTCAGGCGCACGCGAGCGCTCGCTCCTGATCACTCAGCAAAGCCTAAATCCCTCCGTGGAAACTCGCTTCGGCGCCACTGTCGTTACCGGGAGCGAAACGAAATCTTTGGAAACACAGGGATTTCTTTGTGGGACATCCCGAGGGATTTCTGTTGTCCATCCCGAGGGATTTCTGTTGTCCATCCCGCAGCGGGTCTGGGCGCCGATTATTTTCCGCCGCCGGCACTTTCTGCTCCGTGGGGTCGGTCCCTTGAGCCGTGGGTGTGATCCAGTGCTGGGCTGGAGCCTCCCGGAGCGGCTCGGCGCTCGCTTTGTGGTTTTTACAATTAGAGCCCCATTTGCTCGCGTTAATTTGGGAATAATGGCGAGGCAGGAGCGTTGTGAGTGGCGGCTGTAAATTCGCTCAGTCCGCCCCGGACCGTGTGCCGGTGGGAACACGTGGCTGTAGCGAATAACCCAGTGACTGAGTTTGCATCTGTTCAGCGGCGCCAAACACGGGCTTGCTTGCAACTGCTTTGAAGCAGCACAGGTAGAAGCAGGACATCCCCACCGTGTGGGTTTTTTGGGGGTTGGTAAGAGCAGAAATCTTTTCTTCGGAAGCTGAATTTGGGGGTTTATCAGCTCTCGTTTTCTTTACCAGGTTATCCCCTGCGGAACTTTCTCCTATCCAGCAGAGATTGTTGGTTTACTTGAGATATTGGAAGAAGAGCTTGGGTTTGGGGTTTTTTTTTTTTGTGGTTTTGCTGAGATCAATTAAAAGCCCATCAGTGTGGCGTTCCAATCCATAAACTCACCTAGCAATGTCGGATGTACGTAGTAATAAAATACCCCACAGCCTAAAAAGCAGCTGAGAAAGCTGAAAGGGATGATTTTCCGCAGGTCGGTGTGTTCGCCGGGATGGTTTTGCAGCTCCAGTTTACTGATGCCTTTATCCTTCTCTCCGTGTTTTTTAATTTCCAGGAAGCGCGACGTCATGCAGAATATAATGCAAATCTTGGAGTCGGTCCAGTTGAAGTGGGAGCTGTTTCAGAGCTGGACGGACTTCTCCCGGCTCCACCTTTCTAACAAACTGGCCATTTTCGGCATCGGTTACAACACCCGCTGGAAGGAGGATATTCGTTACCACTACGCGGAGATCAGCTCGCAGGTCCCCCTCGGCAAGCGGCTCCGGGAATATTTCAACTCGGAAAAACCGGAGGGTCGGGTTATCATGACCCGGGTGCAGAAAATGAACTGGAAAAACGTTTATTACAAATTCCTGGAGATCACCATCAGCGAAGCCCGGTGCCTCGAGCTGCACATGGAGATCGACTGGATCCCAATTGCTCACTCCAAGCCCACCGGAGGAAACGTCGTTCAGTATTTATTACCGGGAGGGATCCCCAAAAGCCCTGGCTTGTATGCCATCGGTTACGAAGAATGCCACGAGAAGCCCCCCTCCCCTCTCGCGGAGCACAGGGGCCCCGACCCTGGCAACGAGACTCAAGGGGAGCTGGAGGTCCCCTCACCCCAAGCCTCCCTCCGGGTGGATATGGAATCCGCCCGGATTATCTACTGTTACCTCGGCATTGCCGAGGTCCGGACTCTACAGCAGTGCCTGTTTTTACACTTTCAGGCAAACACCAAAACCTTCAGCAAAGATTGGGTCGGGATCAACGCCTTTTTATCTCAGAACTGCGTCGTAGAGCCCGGCGTGTCGCCCAAATCCATCTACATCAAATTTGTGGAAGTGGAGAGGGATTTTCTTTCCGCCGGCTCTTTGGTAGAGTGCCTGGAAAAAGCCATCGGATACCCCTTAAAATTTAACAACTGAGTCTCGTCCTTCATAAGGATTAGGGCTTGCTGCCCCTTTTTTTTTTCCATCTCGCTACCAGACGCTTTCGGATCCTGTCCGTTCACAGCCGGGCGAGTCGGACTTTTCCGCCTGGAAACGAGTTTTGGGGTGACGAGCAGCTTGTGGGGGGGCTTCCCCCGAGCTCGTCCCCAGCGAGCGAGCGTGTCCCGGCTCTCCTGCCGAACAGACCGGCCGGTTTTCCTACCGGAGCGGCGCGGCGGGGAGAGGAGAGGAGAAGCCCCCGGCCCGTGAAACGACTGTAGGTACATTCCACATCGGACAAGCGCGTACACGTGGTGTTTTCATTGGAAAAGCTGGTTTTTTGGGGGTTTTTTTCTTTGTTCCACGGTGTCTCATTTTTACACATCCGTCTCTCTCTCAAGTGTTATTACGGATCTGAATAAATAAGCAATAGATAACGGCAAGTTAAACGTTGAATCACGTTAAAGGAGACTGTTTTTCAAAGCCACCCTTAGATACTATTGTATATAATTTAGAACTTCACTTTTTTCACCCATCAAGTGTTCTCCTCTTTCCAAACAGTGTTGCCTGCAAAAAGACTTCGGTTTCTGTGATGTATTCCACTTTACTAGTAGCGTTGCCATATCCGCTTTTATTTTATTTTATTTTTTAACATTAAAATAATTCCTGGCCTTTTTATTTTTATTTTGTTTTTTGGTTTTTTTTTTTTTTGGTTGTTGTTGTTGTCGTTGTTGGGTTTTTGTTTTTGGTTTTTTTTTTTTTGGAGTTCTAGTTAGCCTCTCTGTGAGAATAACCTGGCAGCTGGGAAACATTTGTTTTGTCGAACCATGCTTATGGATACAATCAAAGCTGTGAGAATGGGGAAGAGGGGGCTTGGGGAGGGGGGGGGGGACACAGGGACGGGGGGGGACACGGGGACGGGGGAGGACGCATTTAATGCCTTTTTCAGACGTGTTACTATATAAGCCCCATTATCTTGCTGGCTGGCGCTGGCAGTTTCGGTTTTTTGTTTTTTTTTTTTTTATTTTCTAAAGCTCATCGATCGGTGAAGTTGTGACATACAATGAATGTGTCGGTCCTAATAAAATCAAGCAAACATGTACGGGCTTCGACAAATGTCTTTCTCCTCCTTGAGGGGGGAGCTTTGCGGGGGGACGCAGAGGTCTCCTCCTGGGATATTGCCACCGGGGCTTCGTTCCAGGGGCCGTTATTGCAAGAGATGTTGAATTTATTTATTTTAAGGGGGGGGGGAGCGCTGCTGAAGCCGGTGTCCTTCCCCACGGAGATGCCTGAAATCTTCGAGACCGTGCGGACGGCTCGGCGTCACCTTCGGCCACAGTTGAGCCCTGAGATGGCGGAGAGAGGAGGAGGAGGAGGTCACCCCCACCCCCCCACCCCAGCCCTTCCTCCCAGCGCTCAAAACAGGGGAAATCGCCCCAAAACAGGGCGAGTTGCCCCAAAGAAGCGTCTGCTGGGAGCCGAGGAGGCATCAGACGGAGCAGGAGGTGCTGGCAGGGGAAAGGTGAGATCCCGGTGGGGTTGGGCTGGGTCGGTCCCCCAAAACCCCCCCCCCACTCCCCGAGGCTGGATCCAGCAATCCCAGCGGCCAGGCTGGATTTACAGGGGGAGATGAGGGCGAGAAGGGATTAATTCTCCCCCCCCCCCCCCCCGCTGCTTCTCCTCTTCCTCCTCCACCGCCCGCAGTTAATCTCTCCGCTCATGCTTCGAGGTCTGACCTGGGGCGGATCGAGGACCTCAGCCGAGCTGGGAGGGCTTGGTCCCCGTGCTCCTTGAAATCGGGGAGCTTGATCTGGAGAGTCAAAAATGACCTTTTTGGGGTATTTTTTAAAAATTTGTTTTGAAGGATTCATGTTTTCCCGGGCGGAGTCCAGCAGGGATGCTGGAGGAGATGCTCGGCCCTCCTGGTGCGGGAGGGATGTGGCCGGGGGGGGGGGGTGTGTGTTAGGGGTCCCTGTGCCCCCCCCCCCCTCCCGGAGAGGGTGCCACTGGGGTGCCACATTGCAGCCCCCCCCACCCCACCCCCTTACAACCTTAATATCATAATTAATAATAAACCCAACAATTACCACAAATATATTGGTGCGGGGCTGGTATTCATGGCTGGGACACATCCACCCCCCCCCCGCAATGGGTGGGGTGGGGAGAAGCCCCGCCCCTTCGTTATGCCCCGCCTTCTCCGAGGCCACGCCCCCACCTGCGGGGCGGGGGGGGCACACCCCCACACCCACACCCCCCCCCGGTTCGAGTTCCCCCCCCCCCCCCCCCCCCGGCACCTGCTGCGGCGGCTCCGGCCATGGGCGCGCTGCCGCGGGCCGCGCTGGCGCTGGCTGCGCTGCTGGGTGAGCCCCGGGGCAACGGGGGGGGGCAACGGGGTCTTTTTTGGGGGGGGGGGGGGGGTGGGTCACCGGGGAGCTGGGGAACTGCGAGGGTAGCGGGCGGGATGCGCGGGAATGGAGATGGGGGACACTGGGTGGGTACTGGGGGGTTGGGGGGGGGGGACACGACACCGGGCGGGACCCGAGGGGGAGCACCGGGGAAAGGGGGGGGCACAGGGCAGGACTCGGGGGTATTGGGGGGGGGGGGGGCATTGGGCAGGAACTGGGGGTACTGGGAGGGCATCGGGCAGGACCTGAGGGTACCGGGGAGGGGGGGGGGGCACCGGGGAGGAGCTGGGGGGTACTGGGTGGGGGGGGCAGCGGGCAGGACTCGGGGGTACGGGGGGGGAACCGGGCAGGAGCTGGGGGGACCGGGGGGGGAGGGGGGCCACCGGGTAGGAGCTGGGGGTACTGGGGCACCGGGCAGGACCCGGGGGGACCGGGGGGGGGGGCATTGGGCAGGAACTGGGGGTACTGGGAGGGTCACCGGGCAGGGACCGGGGGGGGCACCGGGCAGGACTAGGGGGTACCGGGGGGGGCACCGGGCAGGAGCTGGGGGTACTGGGTCACCGGGCAGGACCCGGGGGGACCGGGGGGGGCACCGGGCAGGATCCAGGGGTATCGGGAGGGGGAGCACCGGGTAAGGAACTGGGGGGTACTGGGCAGGGGGGACACGGGGCAGGACTCGGGGGAACCGGGGGGAGACACCGAGCAGGAACTGGGGGTACTGAGGGGGGGGGGGGGTCATCAGACCGGGTTCGGAGCTGCCGGAGGGCGCCCAGCAAGATGCTGGACTTTGGGGAGCTTTAGGGGGGCACCCCGGGGGTACGGGGAGGAGTGTCACAGCACCCACCCGTTCTGTGCCCCCAGTTCCCCCACCCCAGAAGCGAGGTGGGTGCCGGGGGGGTCCCGAACCGCCCCCCACCCCATCTTCGGGGTGCACTGAGAGGGGAAAATCTGGGTCCCCTGGGAAAAGCCACTTTGTGCCTTGGAGCTGCCGAGCACACCAGCACCCCGAAACCGAAAGCCGCTCCATGGGAGGGGACAGACCCTGGTGTGTCGGAGCTGATAATTCACCCCCCCTGCGTGGCATCGGGCAGAAAAAAAGAAAACAATTTTTTTTCTTTTTCCCATGATAAAAATCTGCTGCCTTCCTTGTTTGCTGGTGCTTTAAGGCTGCCCCAGCTGTTTTCGGGGTGACGGGTCTCAACCCCTTTCTGTCTATGGGGTTTTTTTTCCTTCCTTCCCCCCTAATTTCCAACCCTATTAAATTTTTTTTTTTTTTTTTTTTATTTGGAAACGCCACAGTTGCTCCAAAGGGAAATATCCCTTGGCGTTCCCAGCGAAGGAGAGGCCTTTGGGGAAAGGAAATGGCCCCAAAAACAATGGCAGCAGCGTTTCCTCCCCGGTGGGACACTGGGTGGGGGTCCCCGCTCCCGGAGCCATTTGCGTTTTGCTCCTTGAAGGTTTTTTTCCATGATAAAGGTTAATTAAAGGGTGTTGGGATGAGGCACAGGAGTCGCTTTGTGCTTAAATCCCACCAGGTTCCCCCCTTTGCCGCATCCCAATGACGTTAATTTGCACGGGCTCGTGAGGGGTCCCCCCCCAAAAAAGCCCCATCCGAGCCCTGGGATGTGATGCTCTAGAGACCAGGAGCACAAAAATACAGCCAAAAGGTGCTTTTCAGCCCAAAATGCGCGTTTTTCCCTTAAGTTTGCTTTCAAACATCCCGTCCCCCACCCTGTGCGGTCCACTCGGGATCATGATGGGGAAGAGAAAAATGAGGGGTGATGCTCCTCATCCCCATTTCCACCCTCGTTTCCATCCCCATCCCATCGCCGCCGCCTTCTCCCACATCAGGGGTTAAAGTGCGTTTCTATCTATAGCAGAGTCACGTATTATTATTATTATTTTATTTATTTTATTTTTTTTTTCCCAAATTTGGCCTCTCCAGAGGCTACAGCGCTTTCTGCCCCCCCCCCCCCCCCCCATCCCAGGGTCATGAGAAAAGCCGCTGTGGATTTTCTCAACGGACGCTGCTCCCCGGCTCGGCATCTCCTATCTGCCCGTTTATAAATAGTCAAAGTTAAGGGAAGAAAAAAAAAATATTCCTCCCCCCACCCCCCCAAAAAAAAAAAAAAAGCTGTGTGGCTGTGTCACATCACTGAGATGCTCCTTGACCTTTTTCCGAGGTTTTTTGAAGGATCGTTTTTTTTTTCCGGCTGGATTCCCGCTGTGTATTTTAAATCCCAAGCTTGGTCTCTTGGGATTTAATTTGGGTCTGGGTTTCACATGATTCCAGCGCCTTAATCCTATCGAGTGGGGTCATCAAACCCCAGCCGCCTCCAGCCTTTAATTCACTATACGGTTAACAGCTTATAGGGTCGGGCGGGGTTTGGGGAGGGGGATATGCTGGTTTTAGGGAGGGTTCTGCGCCTTGAACTGGGAAGCAGCTTTTTTGAGGTGAAACGATGTGCTTTTAGATGAGGTTGGGGTGTTGACTGTAGACATGGTGCTTAATATTGAGGTTGCCGTAGGTGCGTGGGGATTTAAAGGTATTTTTTTCCACAGGGAAAAAAAAAATGAAAGTTGTTTTGGAAAGTAAATTTAAAGGTATTTTTTTCCCCTGGGGAAAAAAACGTGAAAAGGAATTTTTAAAGTAAATTTAAAGGTCTTTTTTCTGTAGGGAAAAAATTTGCAAGGTATTTTTTAAAGTAAATGTAAAGGTATTTTTTCCGTAGGGAAAAAATTTGCAAGGTATTTTTTAAAGCAAATTTAAAGGTATTTTTTCCATGGGGAAAAAATCCCGGCAGATGGGCTGGAGCAGAGGGAGAAGACCCAGGCAGGTGCTTAGCTCAGGGCAGCTGGATAAAAATCAAGGTTTTTCAGCCCAAATAGCAGCCGGGAGGTCCTGAGATTCCCCCCTCCACCGCTGCTGATATGTGTATGAGCGCCGGGAGCGGCTTAATTTTTTCGATCTGGTTAAAGCATTAGAGGATTTGAAGCGGCGAGGTGGCTAAAGCTGGAGCTAATGCCAAAGGGTTCGGTCCCATGCCCGCAGCTCAAGCAGCAGCAGTCCCAGCCCTTTTTAGGGTCAAATTTGTCTGAGGTGAGGAATTTGGGGTGAATCCTGCAAGAAAAAAAGAGGATTTGGGGGAACAAGCATCCTCCGGATCCATCCACCTCTCCCCGATGTGCTGGAGGGGGGAATGATGGAGCCGTCGTCTCCTATTGCCGTGATTTAAGAATGACGGAGCAAAGCTGTAGCCCCAAAGCGCTATTAGCGTTGTCGTCATTAGGTTTCAGAGTTAACAGACCCCAGAGAGAGCATGGGGAGCCTGGCCTCCGGCAGGCGCTGGCGGGTTTGCTGTGGTTGAGGCACATGTGGCTGTTTTCATGCCTTGGGGTGTAAGGGGAAACCCCTGGCTGGTGCCAGAGCATCTTTTTGCCCTCCGGAGCCTGAGTTTCCCTGGGGACCCGCAGCACCCTTTGGCCCATCACCTTTTTTGTGCCCCAAAAATGATGCTGATGGGGGAGCTGGGCTGAAAAAGCTGGATTTTCCCAGCTGTTGGGGATACATGGAGGTTTAGGAGCTGTGGTGTCATTTAATGATCATCTGCATCATTAATGAAATTATTATCATCATCGTCAGTGCTATCATTCTTCTTCTTATTATTATAAAACTATTATATCTATACTTATTATCTAATGTATATTACATATTATCTCTTTTATTACAGAAATGACAATATAATTATTATATACAGTTTCTTATAGATTGTCTAAATTTTATACAATTATATTTATAATGATGGAGGAGCCAAGCTGAAAAAAACCTGGATTTTCCTGGCTGTTGGGGATGCACGGAGGTTTAAGAGCTGTGGTGTCATTTAAGGATGCCAGCTACATCATTAATGAACTATATTATTATTAGTAGTATTAGAATAATATTTATTATAATTATTATTATTATCATCACTATTATAATGATTATCACTATTATCATTATTATTGTCACTATTATCACTGTCACATCCCCATAGTATTAGTATTCTTAGAAAAATATATTTATTATTATATAATGTATGTTATCTATTAGCTATTTTACTATATAAATTACAATGTAATTATTAGATGCATTATATTTTCTTATATGCTCTCTAAATTTAGTGCAACTATCTTCATATAATTCCAATAGAGTTACCATTATTTTTTCACACTATATATTTGATTTCATACAATAGCTCCAAACATTTAATAATACCAATTATTTTGCCGACGATGTGGTTCACGGGCAGGCTCCCTGCTGCCATCTCCATCACCCAGTGGCATTTTTTTCCCCCCTTTGCCAGGACTTAAGGGTTTATGTTCTTAGCCTGGGTGAGCTATTTTTAAGCATCCTCACCAGACCAGGGCTGATTTCTCCCGGTTTTTCACCAGAGAAGGGAAATCTGAATTTTTATTTTTTTTTTTAAATTCCTGAGAAGACTTATCAGCCGGAGCAGAGTTTCCTGCCCGGAGCTGGAAGGCTCCGTCCGGAAACCGCACCGATTCCTTGCTGGGAGGGGGAATGAACGGATGCAGGGAGGAGGCTAAAAATACCCCCCCAATGCCTTGTTTTCCCCTTCCCACCCTGGAAAAATCAAATTAAAACCTTTGAGTTCATAGGGAAGAGGGTGAGGCTGTCGGAGGCTCCCTAAACCCTTCCAAACCAGAGATTTTTTTTTTCCCCCCGAATCCCCGGTGGCAGCGAGGGTTTGGAATGATGGGGTAGCATCCTCCTTTCCCCCCCCCCCGCATCCCAATCCAGAGCATCCCTGGGGCGCTGACAGGACCGGGGCCAGCCGGGGCCGTGGATCGATGGAGGGGATGCAGGGATGGAGCCACCGGGATGCAGGTCCTCGGTGGCGTTCCCCCGGGGAAAAAAACCCAAACAAATAAACAAAAAAAAAAAAAAAAAAAAAAGCAAGCAAAACAAAACAGGCAGAGCCCAGCAGAAACTCGACCTCGCCTGAGCCGATTAATTTTCCGGCTGAGCTTTACAGGCAAAGCTGGGGAATAATCTTCCTCCAGGAGCTGAGCATCCTGCTCTGGTCTGTGGTACCCGCTCGTATCCCCTCGCCCTCTCCCAGTGGGGTTTTGCTGGGATGTAGGGTACACGGCGATGGGATGGGGGTCTCAGGAGAGGGCACCCATAAATCACCCCGTTATAGCGCTGGCAGCAAAAAGCGGGGATGCTGGGGAGGGCTTGTGAGGTGCATACGGGTGCCCCCCACTACCCCCCCCCCAAATAAATCCAATAGGGTGGAGGATGTGGTGCAGCATCAAATTGGGGGGGGGTCGGGGCTACCCCAGTACTGAGCTAAATGGGGGTGTCCGGCCACTGGAGCCCCCTTGGGGAGAGGTGGCAGTTCTCTGGGGGGGGGGGGGGCGTGGATTTTCAGCCAGAAGTTTTCTCATCCAGGGCAGGGGGGGAAAGAGGGATGCGAGGGAACGGCATTGTCCCGCGTCCTCTGAGCAGCCGGAAAGCCCTTCCCGTGCCAGGCAAGGAGGAAGAACGTTTTCCCAGCCCGACTTCCCCCACCATAACCTGGGATTGTTGGGTTCTCCCCTGGGAACGAGGAGGTTCCCCCACCGTCGGTGGAGTTTTGTGGCGAAATGGCACCTGGGGTTGAGTCATGTCCCGTTCTGTTCCCTCCCGGTTGGCGGGCAGGTGTCTCCTCAGCCGCGCTGGAGGTGAACGTGGGGACGGGCTCGGTCTTCTCCGTGGAGGGGCAGCAAGTGGTGCTGCCCGCCTGGTACACCAGTCACTCCCAGAAAAAGCCCTACGTCACCTGGCTGCTGGATAGGGAAGATGCTGACCCCTTCCAGGTGAGCGGTGGGGAGGGGGACAAGGTGGGAGGTGGCCCGGGGGGGGGGGGGGGATGCTGATGGTGTCCACGAGGGGCAGGTGTCCATCATGGGGAGAAGCTCATGGTGGCCACCATGGGGTGGTCAACCGTGAAGGAGAGATGTCCACAGCTGGGGGGGGGGTTCCTTGTGGTGCCCGTGATGGGGGGAAGCTCGTGGTGGCCACCATGGGGTGGTGGCCACGGTGCCCATGATGGAGAGTTGTCCACAGCTGGGGGGGGTTGCTTGTGGTGCCCGTGACGGGGGGAAGCTCGTGGTGGCCACCATGGCGAGGTGGCCACGGTGCCCATGATGGAGAGATGTCCACAGCTGGGGGGGTTGCTTGTGGTGCCCGTGATGGGGGGAAGCTCATGGTGGCCACCATGACGAGGTGGCCACGGTGCCCATGATGGAGAGATGTCCACAGCTGGGGGGGGTTGCTTGTGGTGCCCATGACGGGGGGAAGCTCATGGTGGCCACCATGGCGAGGTGCCCGCCATGGGGAGGTGGCCACGGTGCCCATGATGGAGAGATGTCCACAGCTGGGGGGGGAGTTGCTTGTGGTGCCTGTGATGGGGGGAAGCTCGTGGTGGCCACCATGGGGTGGTGGCCACGGTGCCCATGATGGAGAGTTGTCCACAGCTGGGGGGGGAGTTGCTTGTGGTGCCTGTGACAGGGGGAAGCTCGTGGTGGCCACCATGGCGAGGTGCCCACCATGGGGTGGTGGCCACGGTGCCCATGATGGAGAGATGTCCACAGCTGGGGGGGGTTGCTTGTGGTGCCCGTGATGGGGGGAAGCTCGTGGTGGCCACCATGGGGAGGTGGCCGTGGTGCCCATGATGGAGAGATGTCCACAGCTGGGGGGGTTGCTTGTGGTGCCCGTGATGGGGGGAAGCTCGTGGTGGCCACCATGGGGTGGTGGCCACGGTGCCCATGATGGAGAGATGTCCACAGCTGGGGGGGGGAGTTGCTTGTGGTGCCTGTGACAGGGGGAAGCTCATGGTGGCCACCATGGCGAGGTGGCCACGGTGCCCATGATGGAGAGATGTCCACAGCTGGGGGGGGTTGCTTGTGGTGCCCGTGATGGGGGGAAGCTCGTGGTGGCCACCATGGGGAGGTGGCCGTGGTGCCCATGATGGAGAGATGTCCACAGCTGGGGGGGTTGCTTGTGGTGCCCGTGATGGGGGGAAGCTCATGGTGGCCACCATGGGGTGGTGGCCACGGTGCCCATGATGGAGAGATGTCCACAGCTGGGGGGGGTTGCTTGTGGTGCCCGTGACGGGGGGAAGCTCGTGGTGGCCACCATGGGGAGGTGCTCATGGTGCCCATGATGGGGAGTTGTCCACAGCTGGGGGGGGTTGCTTGTGGTGCCCGTGACGGGGGGAAGCTCGTGGTGGCCACCATGGCGAGGTGCCCACCATGGGGTGGTGGCCACGGTGCCCATGATGGAGAGATGTCCACAGCTGGGGGGGGTTGCTTGTGGTGCCCGTGATGGGGGGAAGCTCATGGTGGCCACCATGGCGAGGTGCTCATGGTGCCCATGATGGGGAGGTGCCCGTGGTTCCTACAGTGGGTAGATGCCCCAGATGGAGACATATCCATGATGCCTGCCCTGGGGAGCTGCTTGTGGTGCCCACGATGGGGAGAAGCTCGTGGTGCCTGTGACGGGGCAGTGCTCGTGATGGGGTGAAACTCACGGTGCCCAGCGTGGAGTGGTGACCACAACGGGGAGGTGCCCTTGATGGGGGGGGGGGGGGGGATGCTCACGGTGAGGTCATGCCTGTGGTGTGTGTCATGGGGTGGTGCCCACGATGGGGAGATACCCATGATGGGAAGATGCCCTCAGCAGGAGGATGCGCATGGTGCCCCCCATGCAGAGATGCCCCCAGTGGGGGAATGATCATGGTGCCCACAGTGGGGGGGATACAGGTGGCACCCACGACGGTGAGATGCCCACGGTTCCCATGTTGTGGATGCTCAGGGCAGGTGATGATGGATGTCGCTCATGCAGCGACCACTACCCCACAAAATTTGGGATTTAGGGAGGGTGGGGAGGGGGGGGAGCTTCTTCTCCTCCGACACCACCCAGAGGCAACCAAGTGGACGTTTCCCGCCCCCCGTGCAGATCCTGACCTACCTGGACGGGGTGGTGAAGGTGGAGGAGACAGAGCTGAAGCCCCGCGTGGGGTTCCTCTACCCCGTCCTCAGCCACAACATCTCGGTCTTCATCAACGCCACCCAGGAGCGCGACTCGGGCCAATACATGTGCACCGTCAACGTGGTGGACGACGCCACCAGCACGGGCAAGAACGTCGGCGTCATCAACCTCACCGTGCTGGGTAAGGCTCCGCCGGTCACCCCTGGCTCCTTTGACCCCCCCCGTCCTGGGTGACATCCCCCCAGGGATTAACGCCAGTGCCCGCAGTGCCACCGGCCGCCCCTGCCTGCCACCTGCACGGCCACCCAGCCGTGGGAGCCAACGTGACGCTGAGCTGCGCCTCCGAGAAGGGGAAGCCCTCGCCCGCGTACCGGTGGCAGCGCACGGCCCCCACCCTGCAGGTCTTCTTCCCCCCCGCCCAGGGTAAGGTGACACCGGGGGGGGACGGGGACACACACATGGGGAGCGGGGTGAGGGGGCTGGAAAATCCTGGGGAGCTTCAGCTGGGGGATGCTTTTGGCTTCGTCCCCTTAACTTTGCCCGTTCCTGCCCGAGCAGGCCGGGGAATATCCCCTTAACTCTGCCCACCGCCTGCACGAGGAGTTGGGAGTGGGGGAGTGGGGCAGCACCCGAATTTCTCGCCCGCAGACCAGGCCAGGGGCACCCTCAAGCTGACCAACCTCTCCCTGGACATGTCGGGGGTCTATGTCTGCGTGGCAGAAAACCGAGCGGGCTCGGCCGAGTGCAGCATCGCCCTGGAGGTGCACTCAGGTGAGTACGTGTCCGCAGGGCCGGGGGGGAGCGGGACACACACACACACACACACACACACACACACACGGTCCCTGTGAGGTCCCCGTGGCATCCCCGTGGGAATAAGGGGGGAAGGTGAACTTCCCCCCCCGCTGCCTCTCTGTCTCTCTCCGGCAGCTAGCACCAAAGCCGTCATCGCCGGCGCCGTGCTGGGCTCCCTGGGTGCCCTCGCCATCGTCGTCTTCTTCGCCCACCAGGTCATCGGCTACCGGAGGAAGAAACGTGACAGCCAGGAGGAGACTGCCAACGAGATCAAGTGAGGCGCCCCTCCCCCAGAGGAGGTTTAAATCATCATCGCTAGGTTTCAGGATTAACAGGAGGGGAGGATGTTTCCCAGCTCTATCCAGTCATCACTAGGTTTCAGAGTTAACAGGAGGGGCGGATGTTTCCCAGCTCTATCCAGTTGTCACTAGGTTTCAGAGTTAACAGGAGGGGCGGATGTTTCCCAGCTCTATCCAGTCATCACTAGTTTTCAGAGTTAACAGGAGCGGGAAGCATGTTTCCATCTCATTCAGTCATCACTAGGTTTCAGATTTAACAGGAGGGGAGGATGTTTCCCTCTCTATCCAGTCATCACTAGGTTTCAGAGTTAGCAGGAGGGGCGGATGTTTCCCAGCTCTATCCAGTCATCACTAGGTTTCAGAGTTAACAGGAGGGGAGGATGTTTCCATCTCTTTCAGTCATCACTAGTTTTCAGAGTTAACAGGAGCAGGGAGCATGTTTCCATCTCAGTCATCGCTAGGTTTCAGATTTAACAGGAGGGGAGGATGTTTCCCTCTCTATCCAGTCATCATTAGGTTTCAGAGTTAACAAGGGCATTTTACCCCTCTGTTTTCCCCCCTTTCCCTCCTGCCCCCCCCTGTTTTGGGGTCCAGGAGCTCTGCACAACCTCGGAGGGCTCAGTGCGCGGCAGGGGGGACGCTGGGGAAGGGACTAGCGGGGTTTCCTGGTGCCAATCTCTCCGACGTTGTCCCCTCTCGCCAGGGAAGACGCCGTGGCCCCCAAAACCCCGACGTGGGCGCGGAGCCCGGCTTCCGACACCATCTCCAAAACCAGCACCTTGTCCTCCATCACCGGCACCCGGGAGAAACCCTACGGAGCCAAACCCCCCTCCGACACCGTCTCCATCCTCACCGGCAGCTACCGGGGACCCCCGCCCCGAGGAGGAGGGCGCACCCCCACCCTCTCCCCCCCCGCCGTTAATGGGGCCCCCCAACGCCGCCATGACCCCGTCGCACCCCCAGGGCCGTTGCCCCCTTCCAGTTTGGCGCGGACGGGCGCCGTCCCCGTCATGGTGCCAGCACAGAGCCGAGCTGGCTCCTTGGTGTGAGCCCCCGCTCCCCCCCCCCCCCAAAAAAAAAAAAAACGGGGTGCCCTTATCCAGCACAACACCCACCCCCCCCCCTTTTCTGGGTTGTTGTGTTTTTTTGTTTTTTTGTCCCTTTTTTTTTTTTTTTTTTTTTGCTTCGTTTTAAAAGACACCTCGAGCAGCTGGACTCATCATGGGGTTGTTTAATGGGTGCGTGAGGTTCCCTGGGTCTGGGGGGGCTCCCTGGGTTTGGGGGGACCGGGTCTCCCCATAAATATAACACCCCGAAATAGTCCCGGTCCCACCCGGGGTCCTCTTTTTTTTTTTTTTTTTTTTTTTTATATCTATCTATCTATATATCTGTATCTCAGTTGAAATGGGGGCTTCTTCGTAAAAGAGCATTAAAAGCCAGGAGAGTGACGGGGTGGGGGGGGGGCCAACCACTTTTTTTAGGGGTTTTCTGATTAAAAGCTGGCCGTGCTGTCCGGCACTGCGGTTTTGGGTGACTTTATGGGGATTTAGGGCAGGGTGGGGCCCACGTCCCTCCTGGTGGTGTCACAGGGTCCGTGTGACGTCACAGCACACCCCACGGGGGGGGGGTGTGGGGGGGTGTGGGGGGATGTCGCGACGAGCGTGAGGGACCCCAGCGCCGGGCTCGTGTCCGTCTGATGTCACATGTTCCACCCGTGACGCCGTACGCGCCCACGCGCTGCCACCCTCGCCGTCGCCCTGTCGGAGGTGACGCGGCGCGCGCCTGTATGACATCACACCCCCCTTCCCCCCCCCCCCCCCCCCATCTCTACACGCCAGTATGACGTCACAGCGGCTGTTGCACAGCCAGCAGTGACGTCACAGCGCCCAACGCGGGCCGCCTCCCACCCCCCCCCCCCCCCCCATGCGGCATCACTCATGCTGGTGTGATGTCATGCCAGCCACCCAACGCACGCGTGACGTCACTGCGGGGGGGGATCACACACACCCCCCCCCCCCCCAACCTCCCCACCGCTGTGACCTCACCGCTCCGCTGGGTGACATCAAAAGGCGCCAAGGACAGGCCGGGCCTCTGGCTGGGACGTTTATTGGGGCGGGGGGGGGGCCGGGAGGGGGGGGGGCAGCCGGGGGCGGGGGCAGGGCCCGGCTGCGGGGGGGCCCCGGGAGGCGCATGCGGGGGCAGCGGGGCGAAGCTGGGGGGTCCAGGGCACTCGGCGGGGGCTTGACGGCAAGGGAGGTCCAAGGAGCGCCTGGCGGCCCCTGCAAGCGAGGAGAGAGCGGTCAGACCCCGGCCTGCGCCCTGATCCTGCACCCGCACCCTGCACCTGCACCCTGATCCTGCACCCGCACCCTGCACCTGCACCTGCACCTGCACCTGCACCCTGATCCTGCACCTGCACCCTGATTGCACCCGCACCCTGCACCTGCACCTGCACCTGCACCTGCACCCTGATCCTGCACCCGCACCCTGATTGCACCTGCACCTGCACCTGCGCCCTGATCCTGCACCTGCACCCTGATTGCACCTGCACCTGCACCTGCACCCTGATCCTGCACCTGCACCCTGATCCTGCACCCACACCTTGATCCTGCACCTGCACCTGCACCCTGATCCTGCACCCGCACCCTGCACCTGCACCCTGATCCTGCACCCGCACCCTGATTGCACCTGCACCTGCACTCTGCACCTGCACCCTGATCCTGCACCCGCACCCTGCACCTGCACCCTGATCCTGCACCCGCACCCTGATTGCACCTGCACCCGCACCCTGCACCTGCACCCTGATCCTGCACCCGCACCCTGCACCTGCACCCTGATCCTGCACCCTGATCCTGCACCCTGCACCCACACCCTGCACCTGCACCTGCACCCTGATCCTGCACCCTGCACCTGCACCCTGCACCTGCACCCTGATCCTGCACCCTGCACCCACACCCTGCACCTGCACCCACACCCTGCACCTGCACCCTGCACCTGCACCCTGATCCTGCACCCTGCACCCGCACCCCGATCCTGCACCCTGCACCCGCACCCTGCACCTGCACCCTGATCCTGCACCCACACACTGCACCTGCACCCTGATCCTGCACCCACACACTGCACCCGCACCCCGATCCTGCACCCTGCACCCACACACTGCACCTGCACCCTGATCCTGCACCTGCGCCCTGATCCTGCACCCTGCACCCGCACCCTGCACCTGCACCCTGATCCTCCACCTGCACCTGAACCCTGCACTCTGCACCTGCACCCTGCCTGAACCCTGCACCCTGATCCTGCACCTGCACCTGCACCCTGCACCCTGATCCTGCACCTGCACCTGCACCCTGCACCCTGATCCTGCACCCTGCACCTGGACCCTGTCTGAACCCTGATCCTGCACCTTCACCCTGCCTGAACCCTGCACCCTGCACCTGCACCCTGATCCTGCCCTTGCACCTATACCCTGCACTTGCACCCTGCACTTGCACTTGGCACCCTGCACCCTGATCCTGCACCCTGCACCTGCACTCTGATCCTGCACCTGCACCCTGCCTGCACCCTGATCCTGCACCGGCACCCTGCACCCTGCATTCTGCCTGCACCCTGCACCTGCACCCTACACCCTGCACTTGCACCCTGACCCTGCACCCGCCCTGCACCCTGCACCCTGATCATGCACCTGCACCCTGCACCCTGCACTTGCACCCTGATCCTGCACCCTGCCTGCACTCTACACCCTGGTCCTGCACGTTGCCTGCACGTTGCCTGCACCCTGCTCCTGCAACCTGCCAGCACCTTGCTCCTGTACCCTGCACCCTGCTCCTGCACCTTGCTCCTGCAGCCTTCCCACACCCTCTCCGTGCCCTGCTCCTGCACCCTGCTCCTGTACCCCTCACCCTGAACCCTTCACCCTGATCCTGCACCCTGCACCTGCACCCTGCAGCCTGCCTGCACCCTGCACCCTGATCTTGCCCCTGCACCTGCACTCTGATCCTGCACCTGCACCCTGCACCTGCACTCTGATCCTGCACCTGCACCCTGCACCTGCACTCTGATCCTGCACCTGCACCCTGCACCTTCACCTGCACCTGTACCCTGCAACCTGCACCCTGATCCTGCACCCTGTACCCTGATTCTGCACCCTGCAACCTGCACCCTGATCCTGCACCTGCACCCTGATCCTGCACCCTGCCTGCCCCCGGATCTTGCACCCTGCCTGCACCCTGATCCTGCACCCTGCCTGCACTCTACACCCTGCTCCTGCAACCTGCCAGCACCCTGCTCCTGTACCCTGCACCCTGCTCCTCCACCTTGCTCCTGCACCCTTCCCACACCCTCTCCATGCCCTGCTCCTGCACCCTGCTCCTGCACCCCTCACCCTCTCCATGTCCTGTCCCCTCCCCGCTGGCACCCCTGCCTGCACCCTGCCCACGCCCCGCTCCTGCAGCTTGCACCCTCTCTGTGTCCTCCCCCTCCCCTGCCCTGCCCACACCCTGCCTGCACCCTGCCCGTGCCCTACTTGCAGCCCACCCACACCCTGCCCTCACCCAGCCCCATCCCAGCACCCGGGAGCCTGGGACATACGCACACCCCCCCCCCTCCTCCCAGCCCCCCCAGCCTGAGCCCCTGCTCAGCCCTAACGAACCCCATGGCCCCAATGAGGGCAGCTCTGCAGCAGCTTCCCCCTTGCATCCCCACGGCACCCTCCCTGCCGCCCCACTGAGCCCCCACTGCGCCCTCACAGAATCCCCACTGCATCCCAGTTGCGTCCCCACTGAACCCCCCACTGCCTCCCCACCGAACCCCCACGGCATCCTCACGGGATCCCCCCTTGCTCCCCCACTGCAGCCTCCCTTCCACCCCACTGCTTCCCCACTGCAGCCCCACTGCTTCCCCACTGCAGCCCCACTGCCCCCTCACTTTACCAGCCCAGTTGCAGCCCCGCCACGCACCTGTGGCCGCGCCACCGCTAACCCCACCTCAGCCGTAGCCAGGACCATTCTCCGCTCACCCCGCCGGCACGGGGGCACCCCACAACCAACCCCCCCCCCTTGGGCCCCGATGCCACGCGGCCTCGGCACCGTGGGCGCTTTTTTAAATTTACCTTTTCCTGCCAGGAGACTGTGACACAGGCTTTTAAAAATAGCATGTGCTGAGGCGAGGCGTTCGGGGTGGTGTTGCTAAGGGAGAAATTAAATTCAAATCTAGGGCTTTGCCTTCCCATGCTAACTACTACGGTGCGCTCCCAAAATTAGGGCAGGCAGGGGCTGCCTGCATGCTTTCACCTCCTGGGAAGAAAAAAAAAACCCCTTCTCCATCCCGAAGCGGCCGGAGGAAAGCTGCTCGGAGCAGCATCTCTGTAAAAATGACCCTATTTGGTGGGGAAGGGGGGTAAGGGAGATTTGGGGCGTACCTAGTCGCCGTTGCGGAGGTCGCCGCCGCGGGTGCTGTTGGCGCACTCGGCGTCCTTGGTTTTCCGATCGATCTCCCCCCCTTTGATCTTCTTGCGGGTCATATGGCCGCGGAAACTAGCCTGGATCTTGGCGGCCGCCGCGTTGGCGTCGGGATCGTCCAAGGGGATGTCCAGGATATCCTCGTCCAGTTTTGTGCAGGCTCCCTCCTGCTGATGGCAACGGGAGGGTCATGGCCGGCGGCACCCCGAAAAGGGCATTGCCCCCCCACCCCCAATTTAATCCATTAAATAAGGGCTTAAATTAACCCCAGTGGGGCCAGATCCCGCTGCCCTGGGGGTTGTGATACAGGGAGCAGCGCATCCGTGGGAGCAGGGCGTTTTGGAGTTTTGGGAGGGGGATTTTCAGCACAGGGGGGTCACGCCACACAAGCTGAGCTGGCCGTGCCTCAGTTTCCCCCTTCCCCACACAGCCTGTCGCATCCCTGCGCAGGGCTTCGGCCGAAAACACCAGGAAATTTGGGAAGGGACGGATGCTAGAGGGGGCGGTGGAAAAAGCCCCCTCCAAGGATAAATCACCGCAGCCCACTCCCCTCTTCCCGCGGTCGGACCTGGCGCTGAGGTTGAGGGGGGAAAAGAAAAACAAAACAACACAGGAAAACCAAATGAGATGGGAGCGAGCCGGTGGTGGATGCTCCGGTGTCGGCAGCAGTGCGGGTGCAGCCTTTGCATCACCCTGGGTGTGCGTTGAAGAACTTAAAGGTTTTTTTTTTGAGGGGGGTTATTTGGAAACTGCGTATTTTGGTGGTGGTGGGGGGAAAGGTGGGGGGGCATGCTCTTCCCCTTGGAGCATGCCACGGCTCCACAAAGTTGTTCAGGTTGTTTTACTGCTGCAAAAGGTGAGGGGAGTGAAAGAGCAGCGGCGGCTTAAGTGACAGGTCTGAGGTGGAAATGATATGTCCAGGGTGGAAATGTTATAGCAAGGGCTGGAAATCCTATAGCCAGGGGAGAAATCCTATAGCCAGGGGAGAAATCCTATATCCATGGGAGGAATCCTATATCCAGGGGAGGAATCCTATATCCAGGGGGAGGAAATCCTATATCCAGGAAAGAAATCCTATATCCAAGAAAGAAATCCTATATCCAGGAGTGAAATCCTATATGCAGGGGGAGGAAATGCTATATCTAGGAGAGAAATCCTATATTCAGGGGCGAAATCCTATATACAGGTGGTGGAAACCTGTATCTAGGGGAGAAATCCTATATTCAGGGGAGAAATCCTATATCCAGAGGGGAAAAACCTATATCCAGGGGAAAAACCCTATATTCAGGGGGAGCAATCATATATGTAGGGGGTGAAAACCTCTATTCAGAGGAGAAATCCTATACTGGGGGGGGGGGGGGGGGGCGCGGAATCTATATGCAGGGGAAAAATCCAATACGCAGGGGAGAAATCTTATATTCAGAGGGAGAAATCCTATGTATGGGGGGGGGAATCCTATATTCAGGGGAGAAGTCCTATATCCAGGAGCGATAAATCCTATATCCAGGGTGGGCTTTGTCTCTCTGGAGGTGCCCAGGAGGGGAGATGGGGGCTTCTCACCGCGCTGCTGGCTGAGCAGGAGGGGGGAAAAAGGGAAAAAAGGAGGGAAAGGGGAAAAAAGGAGGGAAAGGGGAAAAAAGGAGGGAAAGGGGAAAAAAGGATGGAAAAGGGAATAAAGGGGGGAAAGGGGTGGGGGGGCAAAGAGGGAGGAAAAAAGAGAGACAAGGAGGAAAAAGTATGTGGGTTTCTGCCGGATCAGTTCCCCGAGCTGGCTGGGCAGCGAGGGGTGCTTGCCATCGGGTGAGGACGGAGGGGTGCAGCCCCCTGCTCCCCCCACCCCAGTTTATCCCTTTAGCTATCAGCAACCTCCAATCCTGCCTGGAGAGCAATTTGGGGGGGGGGGGGGAGAAGAAAAGCAGAACCCCCTGGATTTGGGGAGGGGGGAGGACTTTCTTGACTGGGATGTGGGGTGCTAGCCGTGGGGGGGGGGGGGTGGCTACAGCTGCGGCAGGACGGATGCTGAGCTGGTGCGAAACAGGAGGGGAAGCTTTGGGGGGGGGGGGGGGGGTAAGGGCCTGGGGGCTTGGAGGTGGGGGGACACACACACATGCAGTTTTGGTTGAGCTTTTGGGTGCAGCCCCCATAGCAGCATCACCTCTCCCCCCCCCCCCCCCCCCCCCCCCAAAATCCCCACCACCGCCTCCGTACTCCAGAAAAAGGAAGAAAATAAGAGGGGGGCCAAGAAGGCTAATAAATGAAATGGAAAAAAAATGAGGTGCAAAATTGGGGGGGGGGGTGGGGGGGACACCTACATTGCAGCAGTCCATGGCGGCGGGCGGGTGGGTGGCCAGCGGCGGGCGAGGGGCTCGGGCAGGGTCTGGGCTCCCCGGCAGCTCTCCCGGCGCAGGTGGCAAGTTGAGCGGAGCCGCTTGCCTACGTAATGTGCTTTCCTCCGGGCGAGCCTATCAGCCCTACACCCCTGCCAGCCTTTTAGGGGGGGGGATGGTGTTGGTGGTGGGGGGGGGGGGGGGTGTTTCTTATTTTTTTTCCCCCCCCCCTTTTTTTTTTTTTTTTTTTTTTTTTTAAACCTCCTCCAATTTTATTTCGCAGCCTCCAACTCCCTCTGAGCACTTAAAGGAGCCGGCAGCTCGCATCGGGAGTTTCGTGCAATATAAAATTACACGCGGAGGATGCGATCAAATATTTAAGAGCGCTTTCGGGTTTCGCCCTCGGTGTGGCAGGTTTAACAGGGCTGTGCCGGAATCTGCAGCTAGTTTGTTTGGTTTTTTGGTTTTTTTTTTTTTTGGGGGGGGGGTGGGTGGGCAGGGGGGAAGGGTGTCAGGCTGTGAAGCTATGGCAAATTGAGGGCGATGAGTTGTTTTTCGGGGGGAGGGATGCTTGACCCGCAGCGATGCTGGAGTGGGGTTTGCCTCTCCCCCGGGTTGGTTTGCACAGGGGGAAAAACCTTCACGACCTGCTTAGGGCTTGGTCCCAAAGAAGGGTGAGGATGAGGACGGCGAGGATGAGGACGGTGAGGATGAGGACGGTGAGGATGAGGACGGCGAGGAAGGGTGGGACACCACGTCCCACCACCGAGCATCCGCTGAAGCCCAGGGGTGATGTGCCCAAACGCAGACTCCTCACAGAGGAGGGGGCTCCTCTTTTAGGGCTCGGGGGTCCCTTCCCTGCCCACAAGAGCATGCAACCCCCCGAAAGTTTGGGGTCTTTTCCTGCCAGACCTGCAAACCCAGCTATTTTTCCAGCCTTCGGTGCTACCCGTGGACCCTGCTTTCGCCCTCGGACCACGCTGAGGTGCTGGGGCTGTTGGGGCAAGACGGGGGGACCCCAGGAAAGAGCAAACCCCCCCAGGGCAATGTGGGGGGCTGCAGCCCGCAACCCCCTGCGTCGCTTGCCTCGCTCGCCTCTAATCCGGGTTTGGGAGTTGCTAAGCAACTGCATAAGTTGCCCGTGGGCTCCGCGCGCCGATGCCGGCTCTGGCCGGCCCCCGAAATGCGGCGTGGCCCCCCCAACCGGGCACCAGCACCCCCCAGCCTGCCGGCACCATCGGGCCTTGCCAGCTCCCCCCGGCCGGGCTTGCTCGCAGGGATGTGCCCTGTGTGGGGGCCCAGTGGCACCTCTTTGCCATCATCAGCATCATCATCGTCACCCTTAGCACCCCTGTCCCCCTGACAGCACCATCCCCATTCCTGGCACTGCCACCAACCCTGTCCCCAGCCCTGTCCTCATCCCCGTCACATCTACCACCATCCCCATCCCCAGCATTGTCCCTGTCCCCATCCCCATCATCATCCCGAGCCCCTCCCTGTCCCCATCCCCATCATCATCCCGAGCCCCTTCCCTGTCCCCATCCCCATCATCATCCCGAGCCCCTTCCCTGTCCCCATCCCCATCATCACCCCCATCCCCATTCCTGTCCCCATCCCCGTCATCATCCCCAACTTCAACCCCATCATCTCTGTCCCCGTCCTTGTCCCCATGCCCGTGCCACCCCCAACCACCATCACCCAACCCTGTTCCTGTCCCCAGCCCCATCACCACCCTCAGCCCTGTCCCTGTCGCCAACCCCGGTCTCGTTCCCATCCCCGTCTCCATCTCTGTCCCCAAGGCCACTCCAGCCAGGGTGTAGGCGGTGGAACCCCCTTCCCTCCCCCCCCGGCACCCCCCCCCAGCTTCCCAGGGCACCCCGACCATTCCCCCCCCCCCATCCCCACCCACGCTTGACCGCCCGATGGGGCTCAACCCCCACCTCCCCCAGCAGCACCCAGACACCCAAACCCCACACCCGGGAAGACGGGTGCTCCCCGAGCATCCCTCAATTCCCAGCTCTCCCCGACGCAGCTGCTTTTCCACCGCCACCTCTTCCCCCCCAGCGTGGCGGGGAGGAAAAATAGCTCTGCTTCACAAAACCCCGCTCCAGCTTCCAGGAGAAGCCTCGGCCACTCTGCTGGGATGTTTAAACAGGAAAACGATCCCTTTCCCTTTTTTTTCTAGACCCTCCAGATCCATCACTGCCTGCTCTGGTGAGGGAAGATTTTTTGGGGAGCCAAGTGGAAAGGGGTTTCGGGGTGACTCATGAATCAAGGATTTGGGAAAATTAGCCTCAAAACTAGGGTGGGAAATGCTGGGAGGATCATCCTGGTACCAGTAAACCCCGCAAAATGCACAGAAATGGGGGGTTTGGGAGAAGTTTTGACGCAAGAGCAGACGGCACCTCGGTTTTGCCGGCGGCAGACAGCCCCCCCTGTCCCCAAAATCCACTCCGGCCACAGCCCCCCCAGTCCTGGCAGAGCCGCCAAGCGCCGGCGTCTCCCGCAGGCTGCGGCTGCGGAGGAGGGACGCGAAATGCCAGAACATTTCTAATCATTAACGGCGTTTTTTGAGACCATTCCAGGCTCTGATTTTTTCCTCCCCGGGCCCCTTCATCCAAGAAAACAACCCACCCCAGGGCGCAACACGGGGTGGGGAAGGAATATTGGGGTGATATTTTTCCAGGTGCTCCAGCATCTCCGAAACCTGAATCCTGATAAAATAAATCATATTTTGGAAGGGGGGGGGGGACAGGTAGCACGGCTCGCAAGACCTGCTGGAAACCTCCCGCCGTCGTGGTTTGAGATGGTGGCACCGAGGTGTTAAAAAAATCCTTTTTTTAAAAAAAAAAAAAAAGGGGGGAATTTGATGCTGGAAAGGTGCCCTGGGCGGGCAGCTCTGCCAAAGAAGGAGCCGGCAGCCGGTGCCGGGGGGGGGGAGGTGGGGGAGTGGGGGGGTCAAGGCGTAGCCGGTTGGCATCAGCCCCGGCGTGAGGTCCCCGCCAGCTTTTTTTCCCCCCATCTCTCCTTCCTGTTTTTCCCGGGAGAGCCGCCGCCGTGCCCCATCCCGTGGGCGAGTGCCGCATGCTGCATATGGCTGGCTCCCCCCCCTCCACCCCCCCCGGGGAAAAAACAGGAAAGGGGGGGGGGCGAAACCGGGGTAAGCATGGGGGGAGGGATTCAGTCCCCCCCCCTAAAAAAAGAGCAGCCGGTTTCGATGCGAATCCCATCACCCTTTTTTTTTTTTTTTTTTTTTTTTTTTTTTTCTTTTTCCAGCGCGGGCTGGGATTTTGAAATCGCTCCAATGGGAAAAACCAGTTGGAATGGGATGGGGACACACCCCCACACCCCCCCACACCCCCCCCTCCGCACACCCCAAAATGCCATAGAAGCATCTCAGCTCTTGAGGGGGTGGGTAGAAGAGGAGCAATGTCACATCCCTCCTTTACACGGGGACACTATTAAATTTTTGACAACCTCCCGGGATGCTGAGGCCTAAATATAGAGACTTAAAATACCATCTTGAGCTCAGCCCAGCTCCTAAACCCAGGTTTTTTTAGGGGAGAAATCTCAGGTGAGAGTCGCTAATCATGACGGGGACCTCATTAATAAAAATTCTCATTAAAAAGGCGCCACGGGGACGCTACAGGAGATCATCACCCGCCCCCGAGAGAAGGGCAGGAGCCTGGTGGGGAAACTGAGAGTTTGTGGGTTTTTTTTTGAGTCGTGGCACCTCATTTTGGGTTCAGATGTTGCCAAATGGGGGATTTGGGGCAAGCGATCGGGTCACGTCCCTGGGGAGGTGTCCCTTTTAAAGAGAGTTATGGGGGTGTGCTCCCCTTCGCCCGCGGGCTTGCCCCTCTCCACTGCAGCACGGTGAGGAATTTTGGGGAGGAATATCAGTGTGTCAGGGCTGATGGGTGCTGCCAGCTACCCCGATGCTGGTTTTGGGCTCAAATAGCCCTGTTTTGGGTGCGGGTGCTGTGTCCCTTTACCGTCTGTGTGGATGCAGCGCTGCCTGCCTGTTCTTCTGCCTCCTCCTCATCCTTGTCCTGTTTCTCCTCGTCCTCCTCCGGCTCCTGGAGGAAAAGCAGGAAAATCTAAAATTTCAGTGGCGTGGGACGAGGGCAGCGGGGCTATGGGGGGGGGGGTGTGCAGGGTCCCAGCCCTTCGCCCCGGGGCACCCCAAATTCTCCAGAGGGGGCTGGTGGGGTGGGCAGGGGGGGGCAGCCTTACTTTGGAAGGGGGCTGGGTGAGAAGCTCGTCCTCCAGCCAGGCTCCCCACGCCGCTGGGTCAACCGAGCCCCCTGGGGAAGAAAGGAGGCTGGATACTACGTGGGATGGGCGCGTGGGGCAGGCTTAGCACCTACGTGGGATGGGCACGGAGGGCTGGGAACGTCGGGAAGGGCGCGAAGTCGTGTGTGTGTGTGTGTGTGTGTCCCCCGGGATGGGCACAAAGCGGGGGGTGGGTGCGGTGCCCTGAGTGATGGGCACGTGGGGCAGGCACGACGCCACGGGCGATGGGCGCGCGAGGCAGGCCTGACACCTTGGGTGGTTGGGTGGACGGGGCAGGCGCGATGCCACGCAGGCTAGGCAGGCGATGCAGGGGATGGAGGTGCGGGAATGGGGGGGGGGGGGGGGCCAGGCCACTCACGCTCTCTTTGCTCCAGCAGCGTTTGGAAGTGCTGAGCAGCAAAGGGCACCACGCCGTCGGTGGGCTGCGCCTGCAGCACCTCCAGCGCCAGCCCTTCCAGCAGGCTCCTGAAGCCGGGGGGCAGCCCCAGGGTGGTGTTGGAGAAGGGGGTGGACATTGTCGCCTCCCCCGCGTCCCCCCTGCAGCGGCACGGGGGGGTGAGCCGCGACCCCCCCCCCGCCCCCCCCCCCCGCGCCGTCCTCACCGGGCAGCGCCGGGATTCGAACCCGCGGACCCAGCCACGGGGCCGGGGTGCCGGGCAGCGCCGCCACGAAGGCGTGGGGAGGGCGCCTCCCCGCCTGCTGCGCATGCGCGCGGCCGCCTGCAACTGCGCGGGAAGGGCGGGGGTGGGCGGGCGCGGAGGGCGCAGGACCCCGGTTCCCCCCTCCGGCCCCCACCTTGTTCCCCGCCCCGTCCCCCACACCCCCGGTTCCTCCCGGTTCCCCGCACTCCGGCCCTCACCCCCTTCCCTCGCCCCAAGCCCCGCCCGCAGCCCCTTCCCTCAGACGCGCCCCCCACCCTCCGACCCGGCTGTGGTGAGGACGCTGTCGCTTGGCAACCGCACCCCCCTCCCGCCCGGCCGCGGCGAGGCCACGCCCCCCGCTCCGGCCACGCCCACGTGGTGGGGGGACACGGAGTCCCGCCCCCTCACGCCCCGTGGTGCCCCCGCCCCCCCCACTCAGGATGGCGGCGTGGGCGCTGTTGGCGCTGGCTCCGGTGGCGGCAGGTAAAGGGCTGGGGGAGGCGCTGGCCCCGCGCCCCCCAGCCCCGCCGGCACCCGTCGCAGCCCGGCACCCCCGCGAGTCCCGCTTCGATGTCCTTGGCACCCCCCCGGCCTCATTTCGACGCCCTTTGCGCCCTGACGAGCCCCACTTTGATGGCCAGGGCAACCCCCAGCCCTTCTTCAACTCCCTTTGCACCCCCCAGCCCTGCTTCAACTCCCTTTGCACCCCCCAGCCCTGCTTCAACTCCCTTTGCACCCCCCAGCCCTGCTTCAACTCCCTTTGCACCCCCCCAGCCCTGCTTCAACTCTCTTTGCACCCTCAACTCTTCTTTGACTCCCTTTGCACCCCCCCAGCCCTGCTTTGACACCCTTTGCACCCCCCAGCCCTGCTTCAACTCTCTTTGCACCCCCCAGCCCTGCTTCAACTCTCTTTGCACCCCCCAGCCCTGCTTCGACACCCTTTGCACCCCCCAGCCCTTCTCTAACACCCTTTGCACACCCCCCAGCCCTGCTTCGACTCCCTTTGCCACCCCCCAGCCCCTCTTTGACACCATTTGCCCCCCCCAAAGCCCTCCCATGCCCCTGGCGTATCGCTGCCACCATGGGACGATGCTTTACGTAAGGCGGGAGTCGCATGCGGCTCCTTGGCAGCATCTCGTGGGCTCTCCTCCCTTCCCTCCTCCCAGCCGCTTTTTATAGCCTCCAGTCTCTTCCCCGGCGTCTCGGGTTGTTTTTTTTTTTTGTTTTTTTTGTTTTTTTGTTTTTTTTTGTTTTGTTTTTTTTTTAATTTTCCTCCTCCGACTCATTTTTTTATGTAACTTGTCCTTCCCGGAGCCTCATCGCATGAGACGGTGGGACCGGCGTTGCGGTTGATTTCAGAGAGACCAAGGACATCGTTTTCCTTTGTCCAACCCAGCCTGGGACGAGCTGCAAAGGAGACGGGGCTCTGTGAGCCCCACTTTGATCGCTACAACTGGCATCACCCCCAAATCGCCTCTCCATGCCCTGCAAATGTTGTCCTGACCCCCTTTTGAGCATGGCTTTATTTTCACACCCCAAAAAATGGAGCTTTTGGGGGTGCTCTCCCCACCAAAGGTGCCTGTGCTGGTGCTGCTGCATGCCTCGTGTTTCCCATCCCACCACGCACCAAACTTTTTTTTTTGCAAGGGAAATGTGTGTCAGAACATATTTATTAGCAAGGCTGGGCTGGCAGAGATGCTCCCAGACTGCTGCTAGAAGAACTTTTTTACCAAAATCTGTGTCTAAACTCTGTAACACAAGCTCCTGTGCTTTGGGAGGTGACTTCCCTCATAGGGCTGGGCTCTCTTGAGGACTTCAAATCGTGCTGATTCCTCAGCTCCTTGGCAACTTTAACCACCTTAAGGTTGAGCAGGACTGAAGGAAGCTGTAAATTAAAGTGGGATTCCTAATAATCTGCATTTGAGAGGGAGTCGGAGGCCGTGGAAGGGATTTTTCTTACTGTTTTTTGCCTCTTGGAGATGTTTGTGCTGTCTGTTGATCCTAGGGGCGATGCTTGGCTTCGCGTCCTACTACGGGGACCACATGGTGTTGCAGAAGGAGCCGGCGGGAGCCGTGGTGTGGGGCTACGGGGCGCCGGGGGCTGCGGTGACCGTGATTCTCTCCGGGGCCGGGGGACTTGTCGTCGTGAAGAAGGTGGCTCAAGTTAAAGGTCGGTCCTGGACCCTCGCTGGGCAACTGGGGCCAGTGGTTTTGGTGGCCGAGGGGGACATCTGAGCCCCAGCTGGGCCTGCTGGTGGGGTGGCTTTCATCCACGGGGTTTAGGAGGTGACTGTGGTGGTGATGTCTCCAGCTCGCGTGCCCCTGGGGCCACACTATCCCCTTCTTCCAGAAGATCTGGGAGGGGTGGTGGTGGGGGTTCAGCCATCCCCCCTGTCCCCACCGACACTGGCCTTTGCTCGCTTCAGTTTCCCAGCAGCAGGATCCCGTGGGCACCGAGCGGGAGCCGAGCTGCCACTGGTGTGGGTGGCACCACGTAGGCTTGAGCCAAACGATGAGGCTGCAGTGGGGAGAGGAGAAGGGGGGGGGGGGGGGGGGGGGATTCAGCTCCTCTCCCTGTCAAAACCATCTCCGGGGAAATCTCCAGAGCGCTCCTGGCTTCTTTTTTTTTTGGATGTATCCCCCCTTGGAGGATCCTGCTGGGGATCTCTAAGCCCTGAAGGATGTGACCTCTGCAGGCAGAGCCTGCCGTGGGGCTGGGAGGGCTCAGGCGCCCCTCGGCTCTCAGCCGGTGGCCTCATTCCCTGCCCAGTGAGTCGGGGGGCTGCTTGTCACCTTTGCGGGGGGGGGGGGGGGGGTGAAACTGCTGCCTAAAGGGCTCCTCCACAAGCTGGAGAGCCCGGAGGCGTTTTGTGAGAGAGCAGCGATCTGCTGCTGTCGAGAGATCTGCAGGATCTGGCCCCAGCCGGGCCAGAAAATCCTCGCTAAGCTCCAGCAGAATATCTTTACGCCTCGATTCGGCGCCTCTAAAATTAGCTGGAGACATCTCGGTGTCACACACACCAAGCTGCTCCTGTAATCCCGGTTCCTCCCAGCAGCTTCTGCTCTGACACACATTTGTCTTTGAGATTTTCTTTTTAACCCCTAAGATCCAGCAGGAGGAAAGACCCTCTGATGGTGGAAAGCTTCCAAAACCCATTTCCCCAGCACAGCTCCGTGGTGGGGAAGCTTTCCCTCAAGTGCCTGAGCCATCCCCACCGGTTGTTGGCCACTCATCCAACCTCTTTGTGAAGGTCTTGAGGTCTTTGTAGCTGCTGTGAAAAATAAGCACCATCCTCTCCTTCCAGGACCTTCTGGGACGTGGACAACTGTCCTGGACCCTATGGATCAAGGTGGTCCCTACGCACTGGCGGCCAGGCAGGGCTCAGAGAACGTGACGCTGCGGGACGTCTACTTTGGGGACGTGTGGCTTTGCAGCGGGCAGAGCAACATGGCAATGACAGTCTTGCAGGTAAGCCCCCACAGCGTGGGTCGATCCGGCCGGGATCCGGTCGGGATCCCACACTCCCGACCTTTCCCTAGATCACCAATGCCAGCTGGGAGCTCACCGCCGCCGCTCGCTACCCCTACGTCCGCCTCTTCGCCGCAGCGCCCCGCCCGCTCCGATGTGGAGCTGCAGGACCTGGAGCAGATTGACTTGCCGTGGTCCATCCCGACGGCTGGTGAGTGCAACGTGCCCCCCACCCCCCCAAAAAAAAAAAAAAAACCAAACCCCAAAAAGCCTGGAAACGGCTTTTTTTTTTTCCCGCCCCCCCCCCCTTTGCGGCTTGCTGTTTCTTGAACAGAAAACCTGGGCCACGGGAATTTCAGCTACTTCTCGGCCGTTTGCTGGCTGTTGGGGCGCTACCTCTACGAGGCCCTGCGGTACCCCATCGGGCTGGTGGAGGCGGCCTGGGGGGGCACCCCCATCGAGGCCTGGTCCTCCCGCAGCGCTCTGCGGGCATGCGGGCTGCTGGAGGACGTGGAGAGGTGAGGAAGACGTGGTGGGAACACTTCCTGCCCCGGGCTCCGCTGCTTTTTGGGGGGGGGGGGGTATCCTCCCACTCACCACTCACAGGGGGCACTGTCCATCCCAATTCCTCTCCTGAAGCATCCCTGGAGCCCCACTCTCCCCACTGGGCATCATTTTACCCGCTCTGGGTAAAATCCCCTCCCGTGGGGAGAGTGTAGGGCACAGCTTGGCAGGTAAAGAGGGTGGCGGGAGGAAAAGGGGACATCCCCCCCCCAGGGCTCCCCTTTGGCACGGTGTTTGCTTTAACCACGCAAAGCCCCAGCTTCAGGGCTGGCTTTGGGTTTTGCACCCCCTTAAGCCCAGCTTTGCCTTTCAGCAGCTCCCCACCCTGGCACCTCACGGGCCCTCAAACTCCCTCTGTGCTCTGGAACGCCATGATCCACCCACTGCTCAACATGACGCTGCGGGGTATTGCTTGGTACCAGGGTGAGCCCCCCCCCCCCCCCCCCCCCCGTGCCCTTTCATTTTCCCCAGCCCCCTGCTCTCCCGCCGGGCCCTCACCAGACCCCTCTTTTTTTGAGGACAGGCGAGGCCAACGCCTTCCTGCACACAGACCGGTACAATTGCACCTTCCCTGCGCTCATCACCGACTGGCGCCGGGCTTTCCACACCGGATCGGCCGGGCAGACAGAGCTGCTCCTCCCGTTCGGCTTTGTGCAGGTGAGGGGAGGGGGGGGGGCGCAGGGGCAGGACCCCCACCCTCTTGTAGGGCGACGCTCGGGGAGGTTTTACCCATCCTTCCGCGCCCCGCAGGCCGCTTCCAAGCAGGCAGGAGGGAGGGGATGCTGTAAACACGTGGCTAAATCCCGTCGGGGTGCTGAATCCCGAGCAGGGACCCCGGCGGGTGGTCTGGGGAGCGATGGCTGAAGCCGCTTCCCTCACGTCTGCCTTGCAGTTGTCCACCTATCGCCGGCAGAGCCCAGACGACAGCTTCGCCCGTCTGCGCTGGCACCAAACGGCCGACCTGGGGGTCGTCCCCAACGCCAGGATGCCCGGCACCTTCATGGCCGTGGCGATGGATCTGGGCGATGAGCACTCGCCCTACGGCAGGCGAGTCCCGGGCGGCGGGGGCGAGAGCGGAGAGATGAAGCTGTCGGCGACCAACCCCGCACCTCCCTCCTCTTCCTCGGCAGCATCCACCCCCGGGACAAGCAGAACGTGGCCCACCGGCTGCAGCTGGGCGCCAGGGCCGTGGCGTACGGGGAGAAAGACATGGTTTTCCAGGGGCCGTACCCAACCTGTGCCGTCCCGGAGGTGACCAAGGGGCTGCTGAACATCACCTACAACCAGGAGCTCGTCTGGCGCCGGAGGGACGCGCAGGCGTTCGAGGTGAGGAAGCGGGGAGAAGCTCCCCTGCCCTGGTTCAGGAGGGAAGCACAGCGTGATGGAGGTTTCTCCCCTTACCCAGGTGTGCTGCTCCAGCCAGCCGGCCCCGTGCGGGTGGCTGCCGGCACCCGTGGTGGCGGTGGAGTCCCGCACGGTGACGCTGGCCCTGGCTGGCTGCGGGACGCCGGCGCTGGCCTTGCGCTACGCCTGGGCCGAATGGCCCTGCGACTACCAGTCCTGCCTCCTCTACAACCCCCAGGGGCTGCCCGCACCCCCCTTCCTCCTGGACCCCCTGCCCGCAGGGGCAACCCCCCGGCGCTGCGGAACAGCCAGAGGGAAGGAGCTGCTTCTCTTCCCCGGCTCTCCACAGGGATTTCGGTGAGGGGGCAGCGGAGGGAGCTCAGACCTCTCACAAAGTGGCTCGGGGCCGCTGGCACCATGCCTTTCCGACTCCGGGAGGCAGCTGGCTTGATTACTGTCTTACTAATTAAGCCGCTTTCCAGCTCCTCTTTGGCCTGAAGTCAAGGCTGCAGGGGAAAAAAAAAAAAAAAAAAAAAAAAAAAAAAAAAAGCCAAATTTCGAATGAAATTGATGAAAAATGTTAAGAAAAGCAGCAGGACGCACTGAACCCCACGCTGCTGCTCCTCTCTGCCCACAGAGCTGGTCCTGGACCCCCCCTTCCGTGACACCCCAAACCTCTTGGGGCACAGAGAGCTGACCCCCATGGCAGGGTACTCGCAGGATCCAGGGACCAGCCTCCGTCTGGGGGGTGGAAAGGCAGGGGAGCAAGGAGCTCTGCCAAAAAAAAAGCCCCCCAGCTTAATGCTAAGATGGGCTGGGACATGGATCTGCACAGGGCACATTGCTCTGAAACAGCAGTGAGTGACTTCCACCTCCCTGTGTTAAATAGTTAATAAAACAGCTCATTTTATTATTGGGTCCTTTTTTTTTTTTTTTTTTTCCCCCCTTCAGAGGAGCACCCCTTAGTCCTCCATTCCCCACCTCCTGCCATAACAGCGAGGAAATTTGTGTGGAAGAGGCATGATGTGCCACCAAGCAGTAAAACATCAGACAGAGACTCTACAAAAAAAAACCCCAAACCAACCCCAAACAGATTGTTTAAACCCTTTTTTGCTGGAAAAATGTACGTAAGAAGGGGGGCCACCCCAAATTCAGGGTGAGAGCAGGTGAGCTCAGCCCGGCCACCGCTATCACGTTACAGATGTCACCCCGCCAGGCTGTATCAAAACCAGTTTAATGTGCTCGAGCAATGCTGGCACCAGGGATGTGGATCGAAGTGGATCCCGGGCACCCTGCCTGCTCCTGGGGTCAGGCAGAGCCCAGCGAGTCCCGGGAGGCTTTTTCCATCGCTTCCACTCCAGGCTTCGGTTCTAGGCAAGGAGGGGGGGAAGAGGAGGAAGTTATTTAACCGGGCGATCACAAACTGGGATCTTGGGCTTTCTCCACCAGTGTGCGACTAGCCTGAGAGCCAGTTGTGCTAGCCCCGCCGTTGCCATGCCAACCAGCTTGCTAAATACAGCTCAATCTGGTTTGGTTTTGTGTTTTTTTTTTTTTTTTTTTGTTGTTGTTGTTGTTTGTTTGTTTTTTTTTTAAAAACCACAGCCCTCAGGTGGTGTATTCAGGGCCGGGAAAGGAGCTCGGGCCTCCTGGCTCCCACCCTGCAGAGGATGAGCCATCTTGCAGAGCCTAGAAACTGCTGCCAGGGGGGTCGGGGAGCCCTGTGGGACCATCAAGGAGGCCCCCCCAGCTCCTGGAACCCCTCAGCACCCCGGAGAAGGAGCAGTGGTGCCTGGGGAGGGCGGCTCTACTTCAGAGACTCGTCTCCCTCTCCCCACGCAGCCCTGCTGTAACCCACCAGTGCCACCCTAACGGGAGAAGGGGGCAGGCACGGCATCCTTAGCATCAGCCCCCCGGCACTGAAAGCTCCCAACCCCACTCCCAGCACAGCAGGCTGCTCCTTCAGCCAAAACCAGGGACCCCTCTGGCCCCCCGCTTTTGCCCAGATCTTGGATTTAAGTGGCAAGCTCTCCAGTTTCTGTTCCTATAGCAACTCCTGCCCACACGTGGGCTCGCAGTAGGATCACGTCCCAGAAACCATCCCTGGCTGTAAATGGAGCCGTGGGGCCCCCCTGGTGACCCCCAGCAGCCCCCCAGCTCTCCCCCCAAAACCTTAAGGTCTTGGGAAAGGGCTTAGAGCCACGATGGATAGATCCAGCCTCACCCCCCGGGATCTGGCAGCGTGGGAGCCAAGGGGAGAGAAGTCTTCTCCACCAAAAAAGCCTACCTAGAGCCCCGCCGTTGGAGAGGGGCGCGCTGTTGTCAGCCTCAGGGGGGCAAGCGTGGTGTTTGGGCTTGGTGGCCTCCAGCCCGGCCAGCAGCGTCATGAAGTCGACGACGGTATCGATGTCCTCCTTGTTGGCGGTGGCTTCCCTCAAGGCGCTGACGGCGCTGAGGCGGCTGAAGGAGGTCAGCTCGGAGATGTTGGCCCGGAGGAAGAGGAGGAGGACGTTGAGGTCGTTGACGGGGCACGTGAGCATCTGGCGGCTGAGGAGGTCGAAGGCCGGCAGCATCTCGTAGACGGAGAGCAGGCCCTTGTCCCACTGGCAGAGCTGCAGGGCGTTGTAGACGACAACGGGCATGAGGAGGACGTAGACGCCGCCGACCGAGAGGCTGATGAGCTGGAAGACGGAGAAGACGACCAGCTTGCAGGGGATGAGCGGGGGGATGTGGGGCTCCGCCTGGAGCAGCCCCGTTTTAATGGAGCAGCTGAACTCATCCTGGAAGAAGATGTTGAGGTGGAGGAAGACCAGGTAGAGGCAGGTGGCAGCCAGGAACAAGAGCAGGAGCAGGTTCCTCAGGAGGTAGATGAGCGCCAGGGAGTGGGCGTGCTGCTTGCAGGTGAGGTAGCGCTCCAGCAACGGGAACTCAAAATACCTCTCCCGGCGAGCCCTGAGGGCAGAGGGGACACAGCAGGGAGTTAGAGCCACCCCCCCCCCCCGCCCCAAACCAAGGCACTTCACCGAAGTCCATCCTGAACGTGGCCACAGCCACAATGCCTCGTGGAGGGACTCTGGAGGGACGTGGTGACCAGTTGGCCTCACCTCTCGTACTCCTCCCAGAATCGCTCCGGCTCAGTGCTGGCCTGCTGGACCTTCCTCATGTGCTGCACCAGGCGCACAGAGCGGTTGTAGGATTTGTCCAGCTCGTCGATAATGAAGAGGAGGTCAGAGAGGAGGGCAGGGGCGGCCGCGTAACGCCACAGCAGGTAAGGCATGTACATGAGCACTGCCACCACCAGCAGCGAGTAGGGGAAGACCTAGGAGCAAGCAAAGGAGACGAGCGGGTGTCGGGCAGCGCGGCGTTGCTTCACCTCTGCCACACACCCGCGTGGGACCTGAGGGCACCCAGACACGAGCTTGACCTGTACCTTGAGAGCCCAGAGGGACTTGGTGACGGCGTGTCCCTCGGTGTCGAAGCCGTGGTGGATGAGAGAGTCCCAGCAAGCCGTGTCAACGTAGGCAGACTGCTTCCCCGTGAAGTTGGTGGGAGAGAAGCAGCTGATCTGCGAGCCTAGGGTGAGGAGAAGGGCGAATGTCAGCCACGGAGCTCCGGTGAGCATGGGCGAGCGCTCCGCAGCCGGGTGCTGATGCATTACGGGAGAATCATTACCCACAAGGCACCGCTCGGAATTCAGAAAGTCCCTTTCCACAGTCATTTTGTAGCCATCCTTCCCCACCGCTACATTTCCCAGCAAGGACTTTTCCATCACTTCCCAAACACAAACCCTTTGAGCACGGCCCTGGGTACGTGGCGGGGGGGGGGGAAATTAGAGACTGGCCAGAAACCGCAGTCAAACCAAATCCCCAGGGGCAGCAGCGGGTTGTGGGCTGAGGCCAGATTTAGCCTGAGGTTGTGACATACCGCCAATGCAACTAACTCTCTGTGCTGCCCTCGCAAACCCCAGTGGGATGTATCCCCTGAGCCTCCCTGCTGGCACCCTCCTCCTCTTCCTCGGGAGCAAGCAGCTGAGGCGGGGCATCGATTCACCGCTGCTCCTGGGCTTTAGCACGGCTGTCCCTGGGCTTTCCCAGCATCCAATAATCCATTAAAAACAATCAATCAGTATCTCCGAGACAGAACGGTTCCTAAACCAGGATTTCCCGCCTCGGACCGTAACCACGCCAGTGCGAACAGGAGGGTTTCGCAGCGACAAGCAAACCGCCACGGGCAACTGCCCACAACCCGGAGATCCCCGTCGCAAAAGCCGCAACTCACCGGCAGAGAACTCCCGGGCGAAAGCCAGCGAGACGAGGAAGAGGGGCAGCCCCACGGTGACAAATTTCAGCAGGCGATCGCTCGGCAGCTCCAACCGCAGGCCCTTGGCTCGGGAACCGCCGGGATCCGGGAGGAGAGCGTCGGAGAGCATGTACTCGGCGGCCGTGTGCGAGAGGGACATTTTTCTAGCGAGGAAAAGACGGCGGTGACTACTGCTGCTGCTGCTGCCCAGGGGCCCTGGTGTCGTCTGAGGTGTGGCCGGCTGGAGGAGCGACTTTGTAGGGCTGAAGGCATCACTTGCCAAGCACTCTGTACCAGGCAGCTATAAATGACAGCTTAGACAGTGCGATAAATTGAATGGTAATTACAGGGGGGAAACCTTTTTGCAAATAGCATGCCCTGAAATAGAAAAAAAAACAAAAAAACAGCAGCCGCAGGACTGGGCTGGGAAGGCAGCATTCCTCCTCAGCCGCGGCCACTCCCCGGCTCCTCGTGGTTTTACGCCCCTCTCTCATCAGCAGATGTATTTCTGGTGGCGTGCTCGAGGGGTGTGGGGCTCCCCGGCTATTTTCACCCCATGTGAGGAGCAGGGAGGTGGGAGACAGGGCATTACCTTACTGAGAAGCCCCAGCCAGGTCCAGGGCAGTCCTGGGGGGTACAAAGAGCCCTTTCCAGAACTCAAACCAGGCAGAGGGGCTGGAGAAAGTCCTGCTGCCCGACCCCGAGGTTTTGGGGACAGGCCAAGAGACACCAAATGCTGGTGGCTGCAATTCTGAGCTGTAATTCCCCAGATTTTCAGTCCCTCCACTCACCTCCCTCTCAGGGCATGGGGGGAAGGAATCTGGCTCCAAGGCAAGCTTCCAAGGGAGAGAGATCCTGAGAATGGGATTGAGAAATAAACGATGGGGAAATTGGAAGGGGAGGTGGGATAGAAAAGTTTTTCCCAGCAGCACAGTCAGTGCAGCCGCTGCTGGCAGCGCAGAGCAGAGGGAGTCCCAGAGCTGCTCGGCCAAGCCAAGCGGAGGAACTCCCCGCACAGTCTCTCAGCCCAGAAAAAAAAACCCCACAGCCGCTGCCAAATTGCACTTTCGATGAATTTTTCAAATGAAGGGAATCTCCAAATTTGAGCACAGAGTGCCAGGATAGGAGGGAAAGACTGCTGAACAGCTCTGGAGGGACAAGTGATGGCCCTCAAAGTGGGAAGGACTGCACCCAGGCAGCACACTCAAAGCTGTCCAGGGTCCGAGATCCGCCTGGCCTGAGCAGAAAGAGACACACAACCCTTCACCTTGGCAGGAACTGCATCTTTTATTGCTCAGAGACAAGTTCAAAAACCACAGATTAGGCAAAGCCCAGTGTCTACCCAGCCTCGTTTGTCCAGACAAGAGGCTCTTCAGCACACCCAGCCACATTTCTGCACCAAATCAGGGCAAGAAGCACAGGTAGGTACCTGGTTTGAAGCCAGCAACTTCGGTACCAACACAGGGGATCTCTGGCAAGCGGCACAGACCGTAGGCTTCATCCCACCACTGCAGCGTGGCCAGATCCAGCACTACGTGCTGGAGACGTGGAAACAGACAGTACCACTCCTGTCCTGCCTCGTTAGTCCTTAGCAATGTCCAAATCCAGCTTCCTCAGGGTGTTCTGGAAGAAGAACGGCGGCTTGCAGACCAGGTCTATCCGCTTGCCCAGGGGCAGGGAGAGCCGGTAGGCGTGGAGGTGGAGGGGGAGGTGACGAGCCTTGCTCTGCTCGAGCTTCAGCCTCTTCAAGGTGATTTCAGGAAGCTTCTGCGGGCGAGGACAGAAAACATTCGTTCCACACCCTCATCTCCTCAGCTGGGACGTGGAAAACCTCAGCCCACGGGGAGTTGGGGGACACAGAAGGGGCTGCCTGGCCTGGGATCTGGCTCTGGCTGCCCCTCTCCGATGCAGGACCTGCCTTACCTGGGGTGCCAGCTTGCTCCAGTGTGAATATTTGTGATCCCCCAGGATGGGGCACCCCAAGCCAAAGGCCAGATGAACCCGGATCTGGTGCTTCACCCCTAAGGGGGAAAGGGAAAGAGAAAAAACATGACAACCAGAGCCTTGGCCCAGAGATTATTTCAGTCAGGTCTAATGACAAGTTCCCGCTTCCAGCGCTGCTCTTGGCTGCAGAACCACACAGAAAGGGTGGATCCAGCAGCTGGGAGACCCGGCCAGGCCTTACCCGTGATGGGCTGGAGCTCTAGCAGAGAGCACGCAGAAGAGCTGGCCAGAAGGCGGTACCGCGTCACAGCGCTTTCGGCGTTGCGGTTCTTGCGGATTTTCACCACCTTCCCATCCTCCGGAGACAGGCGGTAGTTGGGGGCCAGCGTCATCTGAATGGTGGGGAGAAGGTGAGCCCGCGGGAGGGGGAGCACGAGGCCAGAACGGTGGCCCAGTAAGACCAGCAGCTCACCTTGTAGTGCGACTGGTGGCTCTGCACCTCCTTCTCCATGATGGGAATCTCCACAATGCCCTCGGCGGGGTCTGGGTCCCCCAGACTGATTGCCCTGGGGAGATAAAACCAGAGACCTGCGGGGTGTCGCTCCAGCAGGAGGGGAACCCTCCCCCTCATCACTTCTCCCCACGACCCAGCCTTGCAGAAAGACACTTGAGGGGAGATAAGCAAACACCCACTGCTTCCACAAAGCCCCGTGTCCTCCCGCCCTGGTGACTGTCCCTTGCCCCCTTCTTCAAACCTTACGCGCCCTTTAAAGCCGCTTTTCCACCCAAACCTTTCCTACCAGTAGATCTTCTCCACCTGACGAGTTTTGAAGAGAAACCGGATCCTATCCGCTGTCTCCTTGCTCCGTGCCAGCACCATCACACCCGTGGTCTCTTTGTCCAGGCGGTGGCAGAGGTGGAGGGGTTCAGCTTTCATGTTCTCCAGCATCTTGGCCAAAATCGGCAGCACGTCAGCGATACAATTCTTGATCCCAGGGCCGCCTGCATAACCCACAGGCAAAGCAATGAAGGGAGATGTTCAACTCCCCCATGTGCCTTAAAGCAGCCTCAAAACGTGAGATAAAGGCTGTAATCTAAAGGTGACAGACTCCCCACATGCCCTCCCTGGAAAGGAAAACCTCAGCGCAGGGGGGACAGAGATAGAGACTCCCCTGTCAGCACCACAAAGCCGTTTCCATTTCCTCCTCTACGGCACTGGCTTTTCCTCACCGTGCACGGGAAGGCCGTAGGGCTTGTTGATCACCACAATCTCCTCGTTTTGGTACACAGTTCCCTGCTTGAGCACTTTGGCCAGGACGTTGGGGTGAACCTGCTGCAGCCACTTGCTCAGCGCGGCAAGTTCCCGGACCCGCCTCTGCGCCGGGTCTTTGGGGATCTGAGGGGAGAGCAAAAACGCGATGGGTGGAAGATAAATAGCTCTTAGCTTTCGCACAAAGCCCCCGCGCGATCTCCTGCAACCCCACGCCCGCTGCGGTGTCTCTGAGGACTGTAACATACGGGGACGGAGGCTGGCCGCTCTCCCCGCCATCCCACCCCATCGCCCAGCTCGGTGGGCTCTTGCTTAACCCACGCGCCCTCAGCCACTGAACCCACAGTCTCTCCCGTGGAAGGAAAACCCACGGCGGTAATGGCTGCACGTCCCGCCCGAGCGCCCGGCGCGGTGCACGCCGGGAGTTGTAGTCCGGCCCCTCAGTACCCGGCCGGGCCGCGGCACAGCCCACCGCTCACCTCTCGCTTCTTCTTCTTCCCCTCCTCCTCCTCCTCGCTCCTCCGCAGCCGCTCCGCCAGCTCCTCCGCCCGCAGCGTTTGCGCCTCCACCCGCCCGCTGCTGCAAACAGGGCGCATCGCCCGGCCCGGGCCCGCGGCAGGCCACCGCCACAGCAACCCGCCTCGGCTCGCCACCGCCATCTTCCTTCCTCCTCCCTCCCTCCCTCCCTCCCTCCCTCCCTCCCTAGCCTCCCACCCAATAGCAGCGGCGCCTCGACCCTCCCGCCCAATCAGAAAGAGCGCCCCAGGCTGAGCGACACCCACGCCGCGCTATGGCGCCTGCGCGGAGGGCGGGGCGGGGCGGGGCCGCACCACCCCCTCCCGCCCGGTGGTTTAAACGCCGGCGACGGTTGGCGGCTGGTAACGGTCGCGGTGAGCTGTGAGGGAGTCGCGTCCTGCGCAGGTACCGGGCACCCCGTCACCCACCCCCGGGGCACCCCGTCACCCACCCCCGGGGCACCCCGTCACCCACCCCCGGGGCACCCCGTCACCCACCCCCGGGGCACCCCGTCACCCACCCCCGGGCACCCCGTCACCCACCCCCGGGCACCCCGTCACCCACCCCCGGGCACCCTGTCACCCACTCCAGGCCCACCCCGCGGAAAGGCGAGAGACTCTGAGGGTGCTGAGGCGCCCCCCGCCCCACCCCAGCATGCAGCAGCACTTCATAATGCCTCTTGAAATTTATAAAAACACTGCTAAAAAACCGCGTTATTTTTCTTCTTCCGATTAAAAAAAGGAAGCCAAGCAGCCAGCTGCTCTCCCGCTGAGGTGACCCATCACTCCATGCCGGCACAGACCCTTTTGGGAGGCTGCTCTGTGCCACCGCTGCTCCCCGTGCTGGCACCGCTGTGGCTCCTCTTGTTCTCGGGGGGCTGCTCGTCCCTATCCCCCATCACGCCCGGGCCCCGGGGGGTTTCCAGGCGGCCCCTCCTCACGAAGTGGCGGATGCGGGCCTCCAGCCCCTCGCACTTGGGACGGGCCAGTAAAGGCTTGTAGGTGCGGGCTTTGACGCCTTCCACAAAGCCGCTGACCTGGCTGTGGAGGGGAGGCTTCATATCACCCCAGAGGACAGTCACGCTGTTCCCTGGGCCTGCAATATAATTGAAAAAACACCAGTGGTTTGAACAATCTATTTAATCACTCCTTTCTTTCTTTTTTTTTAAGCCCTCCCATCCCTCTATAATTCCAAGGTATTGCCCCCAAACCATCCCTTACTTTTTCCAGTAGCCACGGGAGCAGCGTCTAACCCTCGCAGCATGTTATGTAGCACTTGAGTTTTGACTGCGTGGTTGGCCCAGAGCTGCTGCAAGTGGGTAACGTTGAACTCCTGCACTTCTCGGTCGTAGAGCCACTGGAGGTTTTCAAACTCGCAGTCGTACAGGACAAGGGGAAACTCGACTGCCATGCTAGGGGAAAGGAGAGAAGGCATTACCCGTCGCTGTCTGGAGGGATGCAGTGACAAAAAAGGCTTGCACAACAGCGCATCAGCCTCTCTGCCAAAATCATACAAAACTTTTTCTGCTAAAAACTGAGTTAGTTTGAACCAAATACCAAGGACTAAAGCCAGCACGAGTTTGCCTGAGAGCAAGAAAAATGAAATCCTTATGGGTGCCTCCTAGAGAGGCCGCTGGCAGCTCGCTTCCATCTTGTGAGAGACTGCTTTGCAGGCTGCTGGAGAAGCAGCTTGCCAGTGGCGCTTCGCACGCAGCCGTCTCTTCGAGAAGCAGCCCAGGAGGTTTTCCTGAGCTCTCAGTACCTGTATTGTGGTTTTTGAGGGTTTTTCTCTACATCCAGCAGCTCGTCAATGATCTCTGGGCTCTCCATCCTCTGGCCGATGAGGAAGAGGATTGCCATCATGCAGCGGACTTGGTGATACAGGAACGCCTGTCCCGTCACTTCAAACTGGCACAGATGGAAGGGATCCTGCAGTCCGCTTTCTTCTCCTCCTCCTCTCTCCACCCACGTCACTCCGGCGCTGAGGATCGTCCTCTGGAAGTTGACCACCCCGTTGGCGACGTCCATTTTACACAGGTTACGGAAATCGTGGGTCCCCACGTACCTCTGGGCCGCGGCGTGCATGAGGGCCACGTCTAGGTCGGCGCAGGGGAAGAAGTAGCGGTAGGTCCTCTTGAGGCAGCTGAACCGGGCGCTGAAATCGGGCTTCACGGGGGCCCAGGCCAGCACCCGGATATCGGGCGGGAGCACCCTGTTCAGAATGTGGGTGTAGCGGAGCTCCTCTTCCCCCTCGCTCTTGCCTTCCGACTCACCCTCGTGGCCATTTAGCTTCTTCCCTTCCGACAGGTTTGAGCGGAGATCTAGGGAAATCACCTGCAAAATGAGGAAAGCCAGGATTAGATCACAGATGGGCGTATTCGGCACCCCGAGCCAAGTCTTCCTACACCGCTGTGAAATAAATTCAGGATCTCCTACAGATGAAGGTGTCTTAAATCAGGCGATCTTACCACTCCTTCCTGCGGATAAAGCTGCAAGTGCCTCTGCTAAGGTTGCTAGCAGATGCTACAGATTCCTTTAATAAAACAGAAAAAGTTGCAGACAGCCTACGTAGCATGGTCTCAAAACAGCTTCAACTTTAATCACTGTTTTTAGGATATAATGTGCCTTTTTTTTTTTTTTTTTTTTTTTTTCCTGAATGCGGTATCAGCCTGGCTGTCTGGGAAACCTGGTGTGGGAACAAGTTAATTAATTAACGCCGCAGGTGCCTGCAGGCTTTAAGAGGCACAAGAAAAGGCAGCCCGCACCTTTCTTTTGTGTGACTCATCTTGTGAAGGAGAGCAGACCACCCCTCTGAGCCAAACCCACCCCGGCGAGGCAAAAGCCAGGCCAGCTCTGCTTCCTGAGCTGAGAGAGCCTGGCCTGACAGCGAAGCCTTGGCGGCACAGGAAGGGCTGCGCTTTCCCCGGCAGCTCAGCCAGCCTGATGGCTCCGTGCCCGCTGAGCGGGCCGGCTCGCTCCTCTCCCTCCAGCTCCCACTCCCACACTCCCTTCCGCTAGCTGCGCCTCCCCTCAGACCCTTCTGCGCAGGAATTCAGCTGCCTGACTCCACAGGAAGCTACACAATGCTTGGATTTTTAATTTTTTTTTTTTTTTTTTTTTTTTTTGCGCGGTGTTAGGGAGTTAAATCAGCTGAGAAGGCTCTGCCAGGGAAGGGGCATCTTTTTTTGGCAGCGCTGAGCTGCTGGGGAAGCTGCAACATAAACCACATTTCATCCTCACAAAACAGGCTCCTGGAAAAAACTTAGCACTAATATGGAAAAAAAACCCTAGCACTAATAAACACTTTGAGGGTCTAAAATCATCATTCCATGCGCAGGAAGCCATCGCCAGGCTCATTTTCAGATTTAAAAGCTGATGGCTTTTAAAAAAACTAACTTGTGGTGTCTTGGCTCATCACTGTGGGGCAGTGATCCCACCAGATCTCCATCCAGAAATTCAGGAAAGCCTTGGGGGGGGGGGGGGGCGGATCCTGACCTGTCCAAAGGCACTGACTCCTTTGTCCGTCCGCCCACAGCGGTGGTAGTTGGAGGTCTGTCTGTCGTCTACCAGCCGTGTCTTCTTCAAGGCTTCAAACAGTTTCTCCTCGATGGTGTTGCTGGTGTTCTCCTGGCTGGCGAAACCCTGGTAGCCCCAGCCCAGGTAGGCGATCTTCAGTGCCACGTGCCTGCGGCCGTAGGCCCCGAAATCGAACGGTCGTTGGTGGCGTTTCTTGGCTTTCCCAGGGGCCGAAGGAGCCTCTTTCCTGCCAGCGCCCTCCTTGTCCTCTTGGAGCTTCTCCTGCAGCTGCTTCACCTCCTCTTCCAGCTCCTGCACCCTCCTCAGGAGCTGTTCTTGATCGGTGGCTGCGCTTCCCTCGGCCATAGCTCCTGTCTTCGAGCCTTAAGTAGTTGCTGGTAGCTCCTCGGGGTCTGCAAAGGAAGAAGGAAATCAGGGGGGTTTGCATTTTTATGTGGCTTTTATTACACCTAGAGGCTGGCTCTGTAAAATAACTATGTGTGGAATAATTCTTTCTTTTTTTTTTAACCCCTCAGCGTTCCTAGCAGAGCATGGGAAGGGCCCAGGGGGCTTAGCTTGGACAGCTTCATCTTACTCAAGTCTTTTTTTTTTTTTTTTTTTTTTTGCACTTTTTAATCACTCCTCTTCCCCCAGCTGCTGCTGCTGCACGATTGGATCCGCCAGGCCAGGCGCAGCGGCAGCACGTTCCCGGCTAGCCTTTTGCTATCCGCCCGGAGCCCCTTCCATTTTCACACCGTGTTCAGCCAGCATCACCACTTCAGACAGCCCGCTAACGGCTGCCATTCATCTCACCCGCACCATCTGCTCCAACATTTCGTAACAGCCCGGTTAAAACTTCCATTTTCCAAACCCGTTCCGCGGTGTACCGATATCCCAAGCCTGTGTCTGGATCCCTTTTCACCACAGATCTTGAGGTTTGCTTTCACCAGCCTCAAACAGCCTTTGGGCTACGGCAGCCAACGTCCAAACAAGCATCTAAACACCCTGAGCTGAGCCCGCTCCTCCTCTGGAAGTGAAAAACCCTGTTGGATGTCCTTAGATTAAATCACAGCTAGATACTGCATTTTTAAAAGAAGAGGTACGAGGGGAAAATCATTAATACCTCTGCCTGGCACTGAGGAAGCTGAATCCACCCTGTGTTTGTCCGTCACCTGGTAGTACTTTATATATCGTGTAATTTTAGTGTAGTTTCAAGGAGGAATTCAGGGGTTGCCTCAGATGAGGCTCCGGGGTTTTAGAGCTGTGCCGCATTTCCAGTTGCTGCAGGGAAAGAGCCTTCTGCTGGCGGCAGGAGGTTTAGCAGCGCAGCCGGCGCTCCCAGACCCTCCCGATTACCCGCAACCTAAACCAACCCCCCTGAGCCCCCTTTCTGTCTTTAACCAGCTTGAACGTACTGCAAGAAATTAACTCAGGGTTTGGGTTTTTTTTTTGGTTTTTTTTTTTTTTTACAGAATCCACCCAGTTTGGCAGAAACCATGGAGGGATTGGAGAGGTGTAGATGGGACGGTGAGGATCAGCTGCCGGCCGCACTGGCGCTGAGCCGGCTGTACGCCCAGCACGGAGGCAGCGAGGAGCAGGAATGTCCCCACGACGACCCCTACGCCGAGGCCTCCCTCATTTTGGGGGTGCAGTCAGCCCTTCCTACTTTTCCTGAGGATCAGAGAGGATCCAGGAGGTTGGTAATGAAAAGGAAGGTGCTGAGGCGCAGACCCGATGGAGGAGTGGAGGTGTCCGACGAGTCGGTGAACAGCCAGCTGGAGAGCGACGCCGAGGTGTGGAGTCCGAGGCAAAAAATGCTGCAGCTCCCCACCAGTGCGGAAGACAGCATCTCTGAGGGGGAAATCGAGACGAGCAGCAGCTCCCTCGATGGATCCCCTTCCCGCTGGCCCCGTGGGAGCAGTCCCCCCTTTCTCCTCGGGGATTTCGGGAGCCGGAGCTGTCCCGCTTCTCACTGCGTCGCCGCAGCGGGGCAACCCAAGTCCTTCATCCCCCCACGGTTTGAGCCACTGGGCCACAACCGGGGCAAAACAGACCGAGTGGCCAAATATTTGGAATATAAACGAGAATGGGAGAAATTCCGAATCCCGGGGGAGGATCAGCGGCAAGAACTGCGCTGGGGCATCCGGGAGCAGATGCTCTGCAAGGCTGAGCTCCCCAGCAAGCCGCAGCACCTCTACGTCCCCAACACTTACACCGTGCCGACCGAAAAAAAGAGAGCTGCCCTGCGCTGGGAGGTGCGCTGGGACCTGGCCAACGGCCTCCTCCCCCGAAAAAACACCTCCTAGTTTCCTAGAGGAAAATGAACGGTGTTCGAACCACACACGTGCTGCCTCGGCTGAGCACTTTCGTTGGTTTTGGTTTGTTTTTTTCTTTTTTTTTGTTTGTTTTTTTTTTGTTTTGCTTTTCCTCCTCGATAATTTGGACAATCCGCTTTTTGCATTTCAAGCAGGTTAAATTCTGGTATTAAAACGTCACCCTGGGGAGAACATCCCTGCTTCCCTCCCGCCTCACGCGGAGCTGCTTTATGAGCTAAGACTAAGAGTTAGAGGGAGCAGGCACCAAAAAACCCCCCCAAGGCTGCAAGACTTTTCGAATAACAGGAGAAATAAGAATGCGAAGAGCCTGGCAACTTTTGCCACGGAATTGCCCCTGGATTGTTGTGTGAGTTATTAACGCTGTTTTATTTACGGCATCTTGGTGATATCTCTTAAATAAAGCACGTGGAAAGGTTTGTGATCGTTCTGTGGGTTAATTACAAAAGTCTCTTAAACCCCTCCGTCAAGGTCTGGGATTCTAGGTGTATCCCTGTATCGCCCAACTCTCAGCTTTCCTTGCCTCATCGCGCCTCATTTTTCAAATAAATGAGCTTTAAGATAAAGACAATATCATTATTATTTTTCCCCAGGTCTGGGGATGGACCAACAACCTGGCGATTTTTGCGCAGGAAAAGGCCTTAAAGCCCCAGCGGGGGGGGGGGGGGGCTCCAGTCCCCAAAACCTCGGTGGGAAAAAGGGGAGGCGAGGGGTGTCCGCGGCGTGGGGGTGTGTGTGTGTCGTGTCCCCCCCCCCCCCCCCCCCCCCCCCACCAGCTTGGGACCCTGCAGGGTGGCCGGGGACCGCTCATGAGGGCTCCTCCACCCCCCCAAAATCCTGCCGGCGCCCCCCAGCACCCCCCCCCCCCCCCCGGCCCTACCTGCAGGCCGCAGCCGGTACCCCGGAAGCGCCCGCCCCGTCCGGTGCCGCCCCCCCCCCCCCCCCCCGCCGCCGTTCCTCATGCATATTCATGAGCCGGGCGCCATGGCCGAGGCGGGGGACGGCGGCGGTTGGCTGGGACCGGTGGGGACGGGTTTACCCCCCCCCCCCTTTTTTTCCCCTTTTTTCCCCCCCTCTCCCCTCCCCGCCGTTCACGGCTGCATCCCCCCCCCCCTCTCCCCGCAGCTCCCCGGGCTGTGCCCCCCGCCGCGCCGCCGGGACCCCTTCGTGTGCCGCCGGGGGAAGGGGCTTCACCCCCGCCCCGTCGGCCCCCCCTCGGCAGGCCGCGGCGATGAGGAGGAGGAGGAGGAGGAGGAGGAGGAGGAGGAAGAAGAAGAAGAGAGAGGTGGGTCCCTGCGGCTCCGTGCGCGGCCACCGGGGTCCTGGGGGGCTTCCCGGGGAGCAGGCGGGGGAAACTGAGGCAGGCAGCGGGGCCGAGGGCTCTGTGATGAGCCACACTCGTTAATTACTAATTATTTAGCAGCGCCTGCGGTCCCCGGGGGGAGGGGGTGGCCGGCAGCCCCCGCAGCAAGCGGGGAGCACGAAGGGGAGAGAGCTCTCCCAGAAAAACTTTTTTTTTTTAAATTTATTTTATTTTTTTGGATTGATTTTTTTTTTTTTTTTTTAATTAACTCCCCGTCTCTCGCAGTGGGCTTGGCGGAAGCCTCCCTGCTGAACAAGCTGATCCGCACGTCCCTGGTGGAGCCCAGCCAGCCCGTGGAGATCCTGCAGCGGGACCCCAGCTCCCCGCTGTTCTCCGCCAAAACCTTCGAGGAGCTGCCCCTGTGAGTCACCGGCAGCCCCCGGCCCGGCCCGGCGCGAGAGCCACCGGCGCCCGACCCTCGCCGATGCTCTTTTCGCAGGAAAAAAGAGCTCTTGCAGGGGATTTACATCATGGGCTTCAACAGACCCTCCAAAATCCAGGGGACGGCTCTGCCCATCATGCTGGCGTACCCGTGAGTAGCAGCGCCAGGCGGGCGAGCCCCCCCTGGCTCCCCCCCAGCCCTCGCGGGCCACTGAGCCGCTTTTGCCTTGCAGGCCCCAAAATCTGATTGCCCAGAGCCAGTCAGGGACAGGGAAAACGGCAGCTTTTGTCTTGGCGATGCTGAGCAGAGTTAATGGCACTGAGAAATACCCACAGGTAACTGCAGGGAAGGGAGAAATGCAGGAGGGGTTTGCCCAAGTGCTCCCGGTGCTGCCTGCGGGCAGAGCTGGGTTTTGTCCCCGATTTTCACCCGCTGGAGGGGGACGATTGAGCCCCAGGTGCCATTGCAGCAGCAGGTAGGACCGAAGCCCGCTGAAGGGAGGTGCTTTAACACGCTAGCAGCAGATTAAGCCAGGCTTTAGACACCCTGGAATTTCAATTTTGCAAAGCAACTGCAGAGACAGCTGCTTTTTTTGGTGGCTTAAACACCCCTGCGAGCCCCAAGTCACCTCTGCACGTGCAGAATCAGCTTCGTGACCCGATTACCACAATTTGAAATCTCGGGGGTGATTTAAGCCGTTGCTTTGAAGCTGGGTGCAGAAATGAACCACGGGGGTATTTTTTTTTTTTTCTCCTCAAAAATACCTACAGCAACTTCTTTCTGCCTGCATCCCCGGGGCCGTGCCATGCTCCCAGCTCCCCAGCCTCCCCACGGGACCGACTGCCCTCCTGAGGGAGTTTAGCAGCGGGGGATTTTCCTCTGCTCTTCTTCAAAACACCCCGTTGCCTGCCCGGCGTTATCCCGTCCCAGCAGCTCCCTCAGCTTTTACTCGAGGCGTTTCTCACCTGACAGCTCTCTTATCTCTCCCCCTCCCCAAGTGCCTCTGCCTGGCTCCCACCTTTGAGCTGGCCCTGCAGATCGGACGCGTGATCGAGACGATCGGGAAGTTTTGCACTGACGTCCAGGTTACGTATGCTGTCCGGGGGAGCAGAGGTGAGTCCAGGCCTGCCACGCAGAGCCGTGACGGGAGTACAGGGATCCTCCCCGCGAGCCTCGAGCTCCCAGGAGCCTCACAGACGTCTGTGAAGGCCAATAAAACAGCGTCTCTCGAGCGGAGCAGTCTTTTTTTTTTTTTTTTCCCACAACCGCCGGCTGCTTCCAGGCTCCCTCGTGCCCACGTGGGGCCGGTTCCCACCCCTCGAGGCTGTCGGGAAGCATCAGCCCTGCTGGAGATTCTAATCTCAAGCTCCATTTCTCGATGACACCCCCCCACCCCCCCCACCAAAGGCTAGAAACGGAGATAAGCGAGGGCAAAAATACTAACGCTCGAGCCACCGAAATGCGTCGGATTCGGAGGCGCTGGGATGCGAAGCCCCCCTCTCACAGTTCTGCAGGGTGGCATGCTGCAGGAGCAGATCGTCATCGGGACTCCGGGGACGACGCTGGACTGGTGCTTCAAGCGCAGAGTCATAGACGTGAAGAAGATCAGCATGTTCGTGCTGGATGAAGCCGACATCATGATCGACACTCAGGGCCTCTCCTATCAAAGCATGCGCATCCAGAGGTGAGTGTTCCTGACGGCTGCTCTCCCGTTTCCCTGGTTTTTTTTCCCTTCTCCGCTCGACTTTGAGGGAATCAGTCCCCAAACGAGCTGAATCAGCAGCAAAAAAGAGCGCCCCTGCGATGTCGAAGGGCTTGCTGCTGAGAGAATTGGCTTTAGCCAACTTTCCTGCTTAGGCCAGGGATCTGTCTTGCTGTAAATCTGCGTCTGTGATCCACACAGGAAGACTTTTATCTCACTCACATTTCCTTTGAGCCGTTAAAGCGCTTGGGTTGGGGTCCCTTTCTGTTGAAGGCACCACAAAATCAGCTTAAATTGTTTTTTGTTGGTTGGGGTTTTTTTTGTTTTTTTTTTTTTTAATTCCAATGAGTACGTCTGGGCACCACGCTGCTCTCCTGGGCTGACAAGTCCTTTTCCTCCCCTCCAGGGCTTTACCCAAGGGCTGCCAGATGCTGCTGTTCTCCGCCACCTTCCGGGAGAACGTGCGGGCGTTCGCTGTGCAAATGATCTCCAACCCCATCGTGATAAAGCTGCGCGAGGACGAGCTCACCCTGAGCAACATCGGGCAGTACTTCTTCGTGTGCAGGAGCAGGGAGGAGAAGTACAGAGCCCTCTGCAACATCTACGGCAGCATCACCATCGGCCAGGCTATGATCTTCTGCCAGGTAAAGCACCTCAGCCTGCCCGGGGTGGGGGGATCATTTTTGCTTTATTTCGAGGTGTTACCCCTCAAAAGGAGCAGGGGATTTGGGAGGGGGGGGGTGTTAAATATCAGCGAAGGGTCGGCCGGGAGCGAAAGCAGAGCTCTGTTAAAACCTGAGCCCACCTCTCCCGGCACGGCCAGACTCGGAGGAGCGCGCACTGGCTGGCGGTGGAGATGAGCCAGGACGGGCACCAGGTAGCCATCCTGACGGCGGAGCTGACGGTGGCCCAGCGGGCTGACGTCATCCAGCGCTTCCGCGACGGGAAGGAGAAGGTCCTCATCGCCACCAACGTCTGTGCCAGAGGTACCCTGGAAAAAAAAAAAAAAAAAAAACCAAAAAAAACCAACCCCAACCCGGCTCCCCGAGGGCGTGAAACGCGCTGCCTCGCCGCCGGTTCTTCCCCAATACCTTCCTGCGACCCCCTTTCCCTCCTGCTTTTTTTTTTTATTATTTTATTTATTTTTTTTTTCAGGGATCGACGTGCAGCAGGTCACCATCGTGGTGAACTTCAGCCTGCCCACCGCGTGGAAGAGCAAGCCGGATTTCGAGACCTACCTCCACCGCATCGGGCGAACGGGGCGCTTCGGGAAGAAGGGCATCGCCTTCAGCATGGTGGAGAGCCAGAGCGTGGGGCTCGTGCGGATGATCGAGGAGCATTTCCGTGAGTATCTGCACGGATCCGCCTCCCCAGGAGGAGGTTTTGGGACCGGTGATCCCCCCGCCCGTTCGTTTCCCATCTGCAAATGTTGGGCTGCTCTTCTCCCCAGGGCTCATCCCATTGCCGCGGGCGACAGATGCAGTTTTCCTTTCAGCCCCTCACCCTTTTTGGATTGGTTTTTTGTTTTTGTTTTTTTTTTTTTTTTTTCCCCTAGCAGCCAGATTTTCAGTCCTAGGAGGTTGTGCATGACTTGTGAGCTACCCCAAGTGCCTCCGAACCTCTATTTCCCACCCCCCCCTCCTCCTTCAGGCATTTTATCTGCCTTTACCCTGCAAATCCCTCTCCCGGCGGAGCTGGTGCCCCCGGCTTAGCTCAGCCCCGGCTGGGGGAGAGAAGCCAGCACCTGAAATCACGCAGGTCTTTCCTGATTCCAAATGGATTGTCACTCCTAAACGTCGAGAGGATTTTCCAAGATGGCATTTCAAATCCCACTGCCTGTTTTCCCTGTGATTTTTAGGGAAATTAAAGTTACTGAAACCTTTTCGGCGTGCAGAAAACCGCCTCCCTTCCTCAGCTTTGTCCTCAGAACTGCTGAACTCTCGTCAGCTTGTACATTTAAACTCTGCCTGCGGCAGAGACCTGACAGAGAAGACACGAGCAAGATAGACTGGCAAAGATTTTTATTTTTTTTTGAGCAGCAGAAGCGTTGGACAGGTACGCTGAGCAGCTTGAATAACCACGCAGCGGAGGAGTCCGACCACAAATCAGCCGAAGGAGCCCGGTGTGGTGTTTCCATGGGATGAAAAATCTGAGCGGCTGAGCTCCCAGCGACCTGATTTTTCCTTTTGAACGCCGTGATGTTGCGATTCAAGGGGCCGGGATCACAAACCTGCCCCGTCCCGCGTCGCTTAGTTTCTTTTTCTATTGCTCGAAGGCCACGGACTGGAAATACCCCACCGAGCGCTCGGGGGAGCTTCCGAGCCCACGCATCTGCGCGCAGGCGCTACTAAACCCTGGCTCGTGGGGTGCCTGGGTTTGGTTTTCACCCTGCTCGTGGAAGCCCTGACCATTTTCTGTCCTTTCCCTCAGAGACCAAGATCAAGCAGCTGGACCCCGACGACATGGACGAGCTCGAGAAGCTTGAAAACTGAGCGAGCAGTGGGGATTTGCTCTCCCGGATCAGAGTTTTAGTTCAAAACAGAAGGAAAAGTTACAGGAGAAGAATCTCCCCGTTCTCTTATCACTTCCTCAAGCTGTTCAGTTTTGTTACGACGTTTTAGAAGGCGAGGGGGGAACCCTCCGACCCGGTTTTATTCCCGGTTTATTTCTCTGAGGTTTTTATAGCCATGACTTCGCGGGGCTTGAGGAGTCCCCCGAGGGGCTTAACGCTCTGCAAAAATGGGTCTAGGTGTGCTGGGAGGGGCCAGAAAACAAGTAAACTCCGGTAACCGGCCCAAAAACTCCACTTCTCGTCTCCAGGCAGCAGGGGCGGGTGGCATTTCTGCCAGAAAAATCTCAGAGAAAACTTTTCAATAAAAAAAAAAAAAAACATCAGGAGAAAGGAGCAAGTTATTAAAAAAAAAAAAAAAACCAACAAAAAAACCCCAAACACAATCCCCCCAGTCTCGCTAGATGGCAGCAGGAATCCGCCGCTGCCATCCCCAATCCCTGCAGGAGCCCATCGAGCTTTTGGGGTGCTGGGGGGGCGGTTGGGGGGGTGGGACCCAGCCCGGGGGGGTGGTGTTTGTTCCCCGAGGGTTTATCCCGGCACTAGCACCAAGCTAATTTCTAACAAAATGGGTTTATTTATAATTCTGAGGGCATTGTAGGCTCACGTGCCCTATTAACAGCGTTATTTTGGGTAATGAGCAATTCTCATTAACGCATCGTCGGGGGGGTGGGGGGTGGGGGGGGTGTTTGAGGTGGGGGGGACCACAGCCCCCGGGCCTCATGCCGCACTGACACCAGCAGCCCTGGGACAGAAACTTGGTTTTATTTCCCCTCCCCTTGCTTGTCAGCACCCTGAGCCCTTTTGTGGCCTCAGCGGAGCTCCCGCATCCCCGCGGTGGGGTGTGAACGTCCTGCGTGTGTGTCCCCCCCCCCAAAACAAAAAAAAAATCAAAGATTTAGGGGTGGTTTTGTACAAATACCTTATTTCGAGGGGAATTTCAGCTGTCAGGCTGTGTCCTGCCCCCTCCTGAGCTCGCCTGGCTCTGGCCAAATCCCTCCCTCGGTGGCTGGGCTGCCATACAGTGAGGTCCCGTGTTCCCCCCCTGTCACCTGCACCCCAAAATCCTCCACGGGGGTGCTGCAGGCCCCCCCCCCTCCCCAGCCCCCTTGGCATTGCATTACAGTGTCGCCACCCCCCCCCCCCCATGAATGTTTGATGGGCTGAGAGCGGGAGATGAAATATCAAACCTGGCTTCCCCCGGCGCCCAAACCCCGTGTTTTCGATAGAAGTGTGGGGGGGTGGCAGCTTATTTTCCCCTCCTTTAGGCAAAATAAAATCATGGGGGGGGAGGCGTGGGGTGGGGGGGGTAACGCTCAGGAGTAAATTTTTCCCGCACGGGGAAGGGGGGGGGCGATGCTGCCACTGCTGCACCGAGCGCGTCCATCCTCAGCCCTGAGATTGCAGGGGCCGCTGCAGCCAGCGGCGTTGGGTTCCCCCAGCCCCCCCCCCCCCCGCCCAGGCACGGGCAGGTTTATCAATAATTAAGGGTTAATCAGGGCTGGGCCTAATTACCGGAGGGGTAACCGGAGAGGAGGTCAGAGGGGAGAGCACAGCCCTGCTTCAGCCCCTTGCTGGACATGGCGCCATGGAGCGCGCACCGCTGCCGCCTTGGAGGGGGCTCTGGATCCTCTGCCTGCTGCCGGCGCTGGCGGGGGGTGAGCCAGCACCCCCCTTTACCCCCCCCCCCCCTTAAAATTTCCAACCCCCCCCCCCCGGGGGTGTGGAGGGGCAGCCCAGCAGAGACCTAGCCCAACTCGCCCCACCTTGGGCAGGTCAGCTGCTGGCGGGCGGCGAGGCGGCCTACGAGGAGCGGACGGTGGCCGGGGTGCGGGGCCGGGCGGTGGAGCTGAGCTGCGGGGGTTCCTCGCCGCCGGCCGTGGTCTTCTGGAGCTTCGTGGCGACGGCGGCGGGGGGCTCGGGGCCGCCGCGGGCCGTGGCCGTGGGCTCGGGGCAGGAGGTGGCCGTGGCCCCCGGCGCGGGGACCTTGGGCCGGGTGGCCCTGCGCAACGGGACGCTGGAGCTGCGGGAGCTGCGGGCGGCCGCCCAGGGCCGCTTCCTCTGCCAGGGGCTCTTCCCCGAGCGTGGGCGGCTCCGCGTGGGCTACGCCGCCGTCCTCCTGCGGGTCCTGGGTAAGTTGCCGGCCGGTGACCTGACCCCCCCCCCCCACCCCGCCGGGGACCCTCCTGCTAGCCCTGGAGCGGCCGGCGTCGCGGTGCAGCCCCTGGCCTGCTAGCCAACGGAGGCTTCCGCTGGCCGGTGGAGCACGCTACCGGCGGCTGAAGGAGCTCGCTAGCCAAGGAAGGGCCATGCTAGAGAGGGTAGAGCCCCACTGGCCAGCAAAAGGCTCCACTAGCCAACAGAGAGTCCCACTAGCCAACGTAGCGCCCCGCTAGCCAGGGTAGTGCCCCACTAGCCAACATAGTGCCCCAATAGCCAAGGTAGTGACCCACTAGCCAGGGTAGTGCCCCAATAGCCAACATAGTGTCCCACTAGCCAAGGAAGGGCCCCACTAGCCAGGCTAGTGCCCCACTAGCCAACATAGTGCCCCACTAGCCAGGTTAGTGCCCCACTAGCCAACACAGTGCCCCACTAGCCAAGGAAGGGCCATGCTAGAGAGGGTAGAGCCCCACTGGCCAACAAAGGGCTCCACTAGCCAACAGAGAGTCCCACTAGCCAACGTAGCGCCCCGCTAGCCAGGGTAGTGCCCCACTAGCCAACGTAGCGCCCCACCAGCCAAGGTAGTGACCCACTAGCCAACATAGTGCCCCACTAGCCAAGGAAGGGCCCCACTAGCCAGGCTAGTGCCCCACTAGCCAACATAGCGCCCCACTAGCCAGGTTAGTGCCCCACTAGCCAACACAGTGCCCCACTAGCCAACACAGTGCCCCACTAGCCAAGGAAGGGCCATGCTAGAGAGGGTAGAGCCCCACTGGCCAACAAAGGGCTCCACTAGCCAACAGAGAGTCCCACTAGCCAACGTAGCGCCCCGCTAGCCAGGGTAGTGCCCCACTAGCCAACGTAGCGCCCCACTAGCCAAGGTAGTGACCCACTAGCCAACATAGTGCCCCACTAGCCAAGGTAGTGCCCCACTAGCCAACACAGTGCCCCACTAGCCAGGCTAGTGCCCCACTAGACAACATAGTGCCCCACTAGCCAGGTTAGTGCCCCACTAGCCAACACAGTGCCCCACTAGCCAAGGAAGGGCCCCACTAGCCAGGCTAGTGCCCCACTAGCCAACATAGTGCCCCACTAGCCAGGTTAGTGCCCCACTAGCCAACACAGTGCCCCACTAGCCAAGGAAGGGCCATGCTAGAGAGGGTAGAGCCCCACTGGCCAACAAAGGGCTCCACTAGCCAACAGAGAGTCCCACTAGCCAACGTAGCGCCCCGCTAGCCAGGGTAGTGCCCCACTAGCCAACGTAGCACCCCACTAGCCAGGGTAGTGCCCCACTAGCCAACATAGTGCCCCACTAGCCAAGGAAGGGCCCCGCTAGCCAACATAGTGCCCCGCTAGCCAACATAGCGCCCCACTAGCCAAGGCAGTGTCCCACTAGCCAACATAGTGCCCCACTAGCTAACATAGTGCCCCGCTAGCCAAGGTAGTGCCCCACTAGCCAACATAGCGCCCCACTAGCCAGGGTAGTGCCCCACTAGCCAGGGTAGTGCCCCACTAGCCAAGGAAGGGCCCCGCTAGACAGGGTAGAGCCCCACTGGCCAGCAAAGGGCTCCACTAGCCAACAGAGAGTCCCACTAGCCAACGTAGCACCCCGCTAGCCAGGGTAGTGCCCCACTAGCCAACATACTGCCCCACTAGCCAAGGAAGGGCCCTGCTAGCCAACATAGTGCCCCGCTAGCCAAGGTAGTGACCCACTAGCCAACATAGTGCCCCACTAGCCAGGGTAGTGCCCCACTAGCCAACACAGTGCCCCACTAGCCAAGGAAGGGCCCCGCTAAACAGGGTAGAGCCCCACTGGCCAGCAAAGGGCTCCACTAGCCAACAGAGAGTCCCACTAGCCAACATAGTGCCCCACTAGCCAAGGAAGGGCCCCACTAGAGAGGGTAGAGCCCCACTGGCCAGCAAAGGGCTCCACTAGCCAACAGAGAGTCCCACTGGCCAACATAGTGCCCCGCTAGCCAGGGTAGTGCCCCATTAGCCAACATAGTGCCCCACTAGCCAAGGAAGGGCCCCGCTAGCCAAGGTAGTGCCCCACTAGCCAATGTAGCGCCCCACTAGCCAAGGTAGTGACCCGCTAGCCAACATAGTGCCCCACTAGCCAGGGTAGTGCCCCACTAGCCAACATAGTGCCCCACTAGCCAAGGAAGGGCCCTGCTAGAGAGGGTAGAGCCCCACTGGCCAGCAAAGGGCTCCACTAGCCAACAGAGAGTCCCACTAGCCAACATAGTGCCCCACTAGACAAGGTAGTGCCCCACTAGCCAACATAGTGCCCTATTAGCCAAGGAAGGGCCCTGCTAGAGAGGGTAGAGCCCCACTGGCCAGCAAAGGGCTCCACTAGCCAACAGAGAGTCCCACTAGCCAACATAGTGCCCCACTAGACAAGGTAGCGCCCCACTAGCCAACGTAGCGCCCCACTAGCCAACGTAGCGCCCCACTAGCCAACATAGTGCCCCACTAGCCAGGGTAGTGCCCCACTAGCCAACATAGTGCCCCACTAGCCAAGGAAGGGCCCCGCTAGACAGGGTAGAGCCCCACTGGCCAGCAAAGGGCTCCACTAGCCAACAGAGAGTCCCACTAGCCAATATAGTGCCCCACTAGCCAAGGTAGTGACCCACTAGCCAACATAGTGCCCCACTAGCCAACACAGTGCCCCACTAGCCAAGGAAGGGCCCCGCTAGACAGGGTAGAGCCCCACTGGCCAGCGAAGGGCTCCACTAGCCAACAGAGAGTCCCACTAGCCAACATAGTGCCCCGCTAGCCAAGGTAGTGCCCCACTAGCCAAGGTAGTGACCCACTACACATCATAATGCCCCACTAGTCAACGAAGGGCCCTGCTAGCCAATATAGTGCCCCACTAGCCAACATAGTGGCCCACTAGCCAGTGTAGCACCCCACTAGTCAGCAAAACAACCTGCTTGCCAACATGGCACCCCACTAGCCAATGTAGTGCTGTGACAGCTGGCATAGCACCCCATAAGCCAATGCAGCACCCCCCCTAGTCAACATAGCACCCTACTAGCCAAAGTAGCTCACCACTAGCCAACATAGCACTTGTCAGCCAACGAGACATCCTGTTCGCCAAAGTAGAGCCCCACTAGCCACCATAGCACCTCACTAGCCAAATCAGCACACCACCAGCCAATGAACACCACCAGCCAGTGCAGCACTCCCCACTAGCCAAGGTAGCACCCCACTAGCCAACATAGCTCCTCACTAGCCAACTCCCATCTCCTTGCGCTGGCCAACCCAGCATCCCACCAGCCCGTAACCGGTCACACTAGCCCATACGTGGCCAGCCCAGCCAGTCCGCGTGCCCACAGCCAGGACAGTCACCAGCCTGTAGATCTTCTCGCTAGCCAAAAAAATCATCGGGGCTGCAAAGATCATCCCTGGGTGGGACAGGAGGCGGGGGGGTGCTCCTGGCAGGACTCGGGGGGGGGGTGGGGCTAGCAGTTTTGGGGGGGGGCCACTCACGGCTCGGTGCCCCCAGTGCCCGTCTCCAAGCCCTTCGTGCGGGCGCCGGGGGCGGCGGCGGCGGAGGGGACGGCGGTGGCCCTGACGTGCACCGTGCGGGAGGGGACGGAGCCGCGGAGCTTCTTCTGGCAGCACCGGCAGGCGCGGGGGGGGTCCCGCGGCGTCCCCCGGGGGGCTGGGGGGGGCCGGGGCCGAGCTGCGCCTGGCGCCCGCCAACCGCAGCCACGCCGGCTGGTACGCCTGCACGGCGCGCAACGAGGTCAACAACCGCACCAGCGAGCCCGTCTACCTGGACATCGTCTGTGAGTGCCGCGGGGGACACCACGGGGTGACGGGGGGCGGGGGGTCGGGGGGTGGGGGTGTCACCTCGGGGCCACCGAGCGGGTTTGCCACCACCACGGGCGGCCTGTCGCTGTGATGCTCTCCGTGGCTGGCGCGGCACGGCCGTGGCCACCGGGCAGCGGAACCACCGCGGTCGCCGTGGTCTATCTGTGGCCACCAAGCACCCTGCCACCACGGTCCCATGGCCACCAAGCCCCTGCCACCACGGTCCCATGGCCACCAAGCCCCTGCCACCACGGTCCCATGGCCACCAATCACCCTGCCACCACGGTCCCCTGGCCACCAAGCACCCTGCCACCACGGTCCCATGGCCACCAAGCCCCTGCCACCACGGTCCCATGGCCACCACGCACTGTGCCACCACGGTCCCATGGCCACCAATCACCCTGCCACCACGGTCCCATGGCCACCACGCACCGTGCCACCACGGTCCCATGGCCACCAAGCACCCTGCCACCACGGTCCCATGGCCACCACGCACCCTGCCACCACGGTCCCATGGCCACCAAGCACCGTGCCACCACGGTGCCTCCACGGCCACCACACACTGTGCCACCACGGTCCCCTGGCCACCAAGCACCCTGCCACCACGGTCCCATGGCCACCACGCACCGTGCCACCACGGTCCCATGGCCACCACGCACCGTGCCACCACGGTGCCTCCACGGCCACCACACACTGTGCCACCACGGTCCCCTGGCCACCAAGCACCCTGCCACCACGGTCCCATGGCCACCACACACCCTGCCACCACGGTCCCATGGCCACCAAGCACCGTGCCACCACGGTCCCCTGGCCACCAAGCACCCTGCCACCACGGTCCCCTGGCCACCAAGCACCGTGCCACCACGGTCCCATGGCCACCACGCACCCTGCCACCACGGTCCCATGGCCACCACACACCCTGCCACCACGGTCCCATGGCCACCAAGCACCGTGCCACCATGGTCCCCTGGCCACCAATCACCCTGCCACCACGGTCCCATGGCCACCAAGCACCGTGCCACCACGGTCCCATGGCCACCAAGCACCGTGCCACCATGGTCCCCTGGCCACCAATCACCCTGCCACCACGGTCCCATGGCCACCACGCACTGTGCCACCACAATCCCATGGCCACCAAGCACCATGCCACCACGGTGCCTCCCTGGCCACCAAGCACCATGGCCACCAGTCCATGGCACCACGGTGCCTCCGTGGCCACCAAGCACCCTGGGGTGCTCACAACCCCCCTCCCGCTCCCCCTTTCTAAGGAGGCTCCACAACCCGCATTCCCACCCGTGGCAGCACGCCCTGGGGGAGGGCTGCGTCCCCTCCGCGGTGACATCCCGGCCCCTAAGGGTCCCCGTGTCACCGCAGACGGCCCCGACGAGCCGGCCATCAGCGTGGAGCCCTTCTCCCCCGAAGAAGGGGGCTTCTCGGCGGGCGAAAAGGAGGACGTGGTGCTGAGCTGCCTGGCCCCTTCCAACCCCCCCAGCCGCTACGTCTGGCTCCACAACGGCTCCCAGGTCCACACCGGGCAGACCTACGTCCTGGCCGCCATCGCCCGCGCCCAGGCAGGCACCTACACCTGCCTGGCCGAGAACACCCACCTCCAAACCCGCACCCAGGCCACCATCATCCTCACCGTCTACTGTGAGTAACCTCAGGGGGGTGGCAGGGGGTGGCACGCCCCCCCCCTGCCAGGGCAAGCTGAACCGATGCGGCTCCTCGGTGAGAATGTGGGTGCAAGGGGCAATTTGTTTTTTGTTTTGTTTTGTTTTTGGTTTTTTTTTGGAGGGGGGAGCGGGGAGCCCCCCCATCCTACCCCAGTACTGATGGTCTCCTGCAGATCCCCCAGTTGGGAGCCCCAGCTGCTCTGCCCTGGCCACCAGTGACCTGCGGGACGTGGCCCTGCAGTGCCACTGGCCGGGGGGCTTCCCCCCAGCACGGCTGCGCTGGGTGGGCCCCCAGGAGGAGGAGGAGGAGGAGGAGGAGGAGGAGGGGGTGACGGGGACCAGTTTTTCCATGGCCACCAGCATCCAGCCAGGGGCGGCCACCAGGAACGGCAGCTCCTTCTCCTGCCTGGCCTCCCACCCCGCACTGCCGCGGGGGGCTGTGTGTGGGACCACCCTGTGTGAGTGCGGATGGGGCGGGGACCCCCCCCCCTCCCCAAACCTCCCTTCCTGACCCCCTCCCCAAACCTCCCTTCCTGACCCCCCCCCCCCAAACCTCCCTTCCTGACCCCCCCCCCCAAACCTCCCTTCCTGACCCCCCCCCCCAAACCTCCCTTCCTGACCCCCCCCCCAAACCTCCCTTCCTGACACCCCCCTCCCCAAACCTCCCTTCCTGACCCCCTCCCCAAACCTCCCTTCCTGACCCCCCCCCACCTTGGCGCAGCAGAGCCCTGGTGAACCCCAGGCCATGCGATGGGCACCTCAAGGTGCTGGGATCTCCAAAACTGGGACCACCACGGCACAGCCAGAGCGCAAAGCCCCCCCTCCATACCTTGAGGGGGGGTTCTCCTTTTTTTGGGGGGGGGGAGGCTGCTTCAAGCCCAGCATCACCGTATCCCACTCTGACACCTCCCCATCCCGCAGGGGTCCCGGCCGGCAGCCCCTCCTGCGCGGCGGTGGCCACCAAAGGGGACGAGTACGTGATGCTGCGATGCCGGTGGGAGGGGGGGACGCCGCCGGTCACCCTGCGCTGGCGGGACGGTGGGGGCCGGGCCTTGGGGGACCCCCTGCCCTCGGCCACCGTCCTGGTGCTGAGCGCCAACGCCACTTTGGGGGGCCGGGATTTCATCTGCGCCGCCACCCACCCGCTGCGGGCCGCCGGCGCCGAGTGCCGCCTGCGGCTGGGTAAGCCACCCCTTCCCCCCCCCTTCTCGTTGTGCCGCAGCGGGGTGACACATCCCCCCCCCCCCCTCACCCCGGCCTCCGCGTCCCCTCCCCGCGCAGAGGTCCCCGAGCTGGAGGTGGAGAGAAGCGAGGTGGCGGTGCTGGAAGGCGGCGAGGCGCGGTTGGCGTGCCGGCGGCGGGGCCGTGGCGCCCAGCTGGGTGCCACCGTGGTTTGGTACGACCCCGAGGAGCGGGAGGTGACGCCGGGGTTGGCCAAGTACCGGGTGGAGAGGGGAGAAGAGTGGGTGAACCTCACCATCCGCGACGCCGCGTGGCCGGGGGATGGCGGGATCTACCGCTGCGCTGCCGGCAACGCCGTGGGCACCGCCAGCCTCGCCGTCCGCCTCCGCGTGGACCGTGAGTCCTGGGAAAGGGGGGGAGTGTCCCTAAAAGAGGTGAGAAAGAAGGGAGGGGTCACCCCTCTTCCTGTCTTGCCGCAGGGTACCCGGCCCCGCCCAACGTCACCATCAGCAAGCTGCGGTACACGCGGGCGCGCACCGAGGTGCGGCTGGAGTGGCGGACGCACGGCACCGGCAACCTCACCGGCTTCGTGGTGCAACGGCGCCAAGCCAAGAAACCCTCCCGGCGGGCGCCCGGCCCCTGGGAAACGGCCGCCGGCGACATCGAGCCCCACTCGCGTGACCGGCGCCTGGGGGGGCTGGACCCGGCCGTGGTCTACGCTTTCCGCGTCCTGGCCGTCAACCACCGGACGGCCGGGCACCCCTCCGAGGTGCAGACGCCAGGTGACGTGGGCGGGGGGGGGACGCTGCTCCCCGGGGGCCAGAGCAGGGTTGGAGTGGAGGAGGGCGACATTTGCATCCCGGTGGAGCTGAGATCAGTAGGTTTCAGAGTGAACAGGCACAAGCTCCCGCTTCCCTCGGTGTTTTTGGGCCGGGCCAGGCTTTAGCTGGGGACGCCTGGTGCCAGCCGTGCTCCCTCCTCACCCTCTGCGCCGCTCGCACATGGGGGCCTCGTTACCCTAATTACCCCCCGGGTGGGGGGGGTGGGGGGTGGCAGCCAGGCTGACAGCACCCGCTCTCTTCCAGCCGAGCCTCCCTTTGAGGCCTACCCAGCGGTGACGGGGGCAGCGGTGGTGGGGATGCTGGTGGCCACCGTGGCATCGCTGCTGGCCATGCGCTGCGTCGCCCGCCACCGGGACACCCTCCCACGTGAGTGCTGGTGGGGGGGGGGGGGCAGGTGGAGAGGGGCACAGCAGCACCCCTCCCACCCACGCCTCACGCCTGTCTGTCTGTCCATCCCCAGGGCTGCATGACCTGCTCTTCCGCCTGTGAGTGCCCGCATCCCGCCTCGCCCCAAGGCGCCCAGTCACCCGCACTGGTGAGATCTGCCCCCAGTCCCCCTGGCACTGGTGAGACCCCCCCCCCCCCCCCCCCATCCCTTTCAGGGCTGGTCCCGGCGCCCAGGAGCCCATCGGCACACCGGAGGATGCCGAAACAGCCACCAGCAGGGAGGACGAAGCAGCACCCGGAGACCCAACGGCAGGTAACAGCACCCGGGGAGCAAGCCCAGGGCTGAGCCCCCCCACCCCAGCATCACCCAGGGCTCTCCCCCCCCCCCCCCCCCCCCTCACAGAGCCTCACTCAGCACTGCCGGACACCACTGATGACCCACCGGTCACCGTCACCGCGCCAGCACCACCATGACCACAACAGCTTTTCCTCTTTCTTTCCCTCTCCCCGCTTTGTTTCACGCCCCGGGGACAGCAGCGCCCGCCTGCGCCGCGTCCCCCTTCTCCCCCCATGCTAATAAAGCTGGGGAGGGGGGACGCGGCTACTCAAAACTCAGCGGCTGGAAAAATACCTTGTGATCTAGACCTCACACAAAAATTTGGGGCTGGTAGCAAAAGGGGTTTTGCTTCTTTATGATATTTTAAAAAGGCAGTAGGGGAGACGTATGATTTTTCCCCGGGGTGGAGCTGGCATGGGGAAGGGAAAGCTTTCCTAATGCCTCAAAAGTATGGAAGACTGGTGAAACTGTGATATAGCCCAGGTGATAAGAAAGCAGGAAGGCTTTGCAGAAAAACCTCATGCCAGGTTTTACCCCTGGCTCTAAAAAGCAGCACAAGCCCAGCCTGGGGGTAAGTTGGGTGACTCCCGGCACAAATGGCTCCAGCTCAGCCTCAAGCTTTCAGGTATTTCTGGAGCTAAAATAAATGTTTAGGCTGTAATATTTTCTCACCACTGGGAAAAAAGTTCCCCTTGAGTGAAAAAGGGGAAACGTAACCCCCATTCTTAAAAAAGGGAGACCCAGGGAACTACAGGCCAGTCGGTCTCATCTGTGTCCAGCAAGATCATGGAATGGATCCTCTAGGAATCTGTGCTGGAGCACACGGAAAATAAGGAGGTGGCTGGTGAGAGCCAACATGGCTTCACTAAGTGGAAATGGTGTCTGAGGAATTTGGTGCCCCTCTACGATGGGGTCACAGCGCTGGCCCGCAGGGGGAAAGTAAGTGCCATCGTCTACCTGGGCTTGTGGCAAGCACCTGCCGCTGTCCTGCACGACGTCCCCGTCTCTAAACGGGAGAGACGCGGGTCTGAGGGATGGAGCACCCTGCCGATCAGCGGCTGGACGGGCGCACGCAAGGAGCTGCCGCCAACAGTTCCGTGTCCGGGTGGAGAGCGGGGACGGGCGGCGTTCCTCAGGGGTGGGGACCGGGCCCGGAGCTGTTCCACAGCTTTGACAGTGACGGGGACAGCGGGATCGAGGCACCCTCAGCAAGCTCCCCAGCGGCACCGAGCTGGGCGGTGGGGGACACGCTGGGGGGGGCAGGGGGGGCATCCCGAGGGGCCTGGGCAGGCTGGGGAGGGGGGGCCGGGCAAACCTCCTGGGGTTCAACGAGGCCAAGGGCAAGGTCCTGCCCGGGGGTCGGGGCAATCCCAGCACAGACCCAGGCTGGGCCCTCGAGGGGTGGCTGGAGAGCAGCCCCGAGGAGAGGGACTGGGGGGGCTGGGGGGGGGGGAAAACTGCCCGTGAGGCAGCCCCGTGCGCTGGCAGCCCAGAACCCACCCGTGCCCTGGGCTGCAGCCAGAGCAGGGGGGGCAGCAGGGCCGGGGGGGGATTGTCCCCCTCTGCTCCGCTCTGGGGGAGACCCCCCTGCAGTGCTGGGGGCAGCTCGGGGGCCCCCAACAGCAGAAGGACCCGGAGCTGCTCGAGCGGGGCCAGAGGAGGCCACGGAGATGCTGGGGGGGCTGGAGCAGCTCCCCTGGGGGGCCGGGCTGAGAGAGTTGGGGGGGGTCAGCCTGGAGAAGAGAAGGCTCCGGGGGGACCCTGAGAGTGGCCTCCCAGGGCTTAAAGGGGGGACAGGGAAGGTGGGGGGGGACTCTGGGCCAGGGGGTGGGGGGTAGGACAAGAGGGAACGGTTTTAAGCTGAAAGAGGGGACATTTAGATGAAATGTAAGGAAGAAATTCTTTACAGTTAGGGTGGCGAGGTGCTGGCACAAGAGCAGCTGTGGCTGCCCCCTCCCTGGAAGGGTTCAAGGCCAGGTTGGACGGGGCTGGGAGCCCCCTGGGCTGGGGGAAGGGGGCCCTGCCCGGGGCAGGGGGGGGCACTGGGGGGGCTTTAAGTTCTCTTCCACCCCAGACCAGTATATGGAAACAAGGACGGAAGCTCTTGTGTTAGCTTGTGTTCGCTGCAGCTGTGAAGGCTGTTTTGGGACCATGCTGAGATTTATGTGGTGCAAAGACAAGCACAAATCTTTGGTGGGGTGCAGAAGGGGTCCTCATCTTCACCTCAAACTCCCCGTTTTCAGGCCAAAATGCAGGCTGTTAAAAATAGCCATTAGTCATGGGTTTTCCCCACATCAGTGAGAGGCAGTATGGAGGGAGGCAGGGTCCAAGGAAAGGGTTGAGTGCTGCCCTGCTTTCCTTGGCCCTCATCTTCTGGTGTGTGTGATGAACAAGAGCATCTCTGGCCCTTTTCTCCTGTATTTGGTTAATAACTTGTCAGGAAGTATCAAGTGATGAGAACCATCCTCACTTCAGTGCCTGTGGAGCATTAATCCCCACTCCTGTCATAAAGCAGCATCACTCTCTTCATGGAACCACTTCCAAAAATACAAACCCTGCCCCAAAACCCTGCAAAAACTACATAATTTCAAAATACATAAGGATTTTCAAAAGAATATTACAGCTTTTTAAGAAAATACAGCGTCTTTATATGACACAGCCATGATAAAGGGGAGCATGTGCAGGGTCTGATTTGAGCAAAGTCATTTAAAAATGCGGTTAAGACTCAGTGCTTGGAGAAAACAAAGCAGCCAGAGGTAAAACCCAACTACTTGCCTGCCAATCTTCATTGGAAACCAAGGAAAGCCTTGCAGCAGGTCTTGCAAAAGGAAAAATCCAGCGAGGGTAAAGGCATGCTGCGAGGAGCAGATGGAGAAGGCCGGGTTTAGGAGAGGAGGAGATAAATGAAGAGGGAGGAGCAGGGCTTTGCAGTGGCTCCGGGGTAGGTGGCAGTCGAAGCCCACGGGTTTCAGGGTGTGAGGTCCAGGCTCCCGGTTTGCAGGGAGCTTCAGAATCAGGCAGCTCTGGCTGGGAGGACGCACAACCCTAAAAACAAAGGCCAAAAAAAAAAAAAAAAAAAAAAAACCAAAAACGTAATAGATTTCTAAATAATGCACTAAAAGGAGTAAAAACCCTCCACCCCAACACTTAAACCAGCCCCCTGCTACCAAAGCAGACTGCAAGAGCTTCCTCCTCGGAACAGAAATCGCTCCCCAAAACCCCCCACCCCTCGCTGCACCTGCAGCGCCGTTGCTCCCCGAGGGGTTTGCAGCAGTCCCAGCCAGGCCAGCATCGCTTCCTCCCTTCCCAGCCCCGCGGCCAGCCTTGGCTAGAAAAATACTCCCTCCATGCAAAGGCGGCTGCACATGTGTCGCCTCGGGGCGGCTGTAATTGTAATTTATGCGCCTCATTTCTAGGGTTATGCACTCTTGATTTTTTTTGGGGGGGGGGGGGGGGGGGCGGGGTAGGGTGTGCCTTACAAGCACCAGTTTGTTTGATTTACTCTGATTAAATTTGGAAAGAAAAAAAACAAAAAAAAAAAAAACAAAAAAACAAGGAAAACCAAACCCCGCTGTTCACGTTGCAACACCTACATCATGCTGTTTCCGAGGGGCAGGCGGGTTTCTTACAGCCACATGCAGGGCCAGCGGGAGCTGTTTCAACGACTTGTTTCATTTCAGAGGGTATTCAAGCCGTCAGTATTCCCTCAAACTGAGGAGTTAAAGGTGCAGCTGAACCAGATTTTCTTTTCTGCGAGTGGGAAGGTGAGACAAGCTGGATTTTCATCCGCGCTTCTGCAAACAGAAGGGTTATCAAACACCTAAAGACAAAAACAGTCACTGAGCTGAGCTCTGCTTCTCAAGCCACGCTGTAAGGACTCCGCCGAGGTTCTTTTTCCTTATTTATTTTTGTATTTACCCACTGGGTTCTTCCAAGAGGAACCAAAAGAGGACGGGAGGCGTTCACGGGAAGGAGGGCTGGAGTAACACGACGCCGAGCTGCCAGGGAAGCGGCAGAGATCGGTCACGAGTATCAGACCCACTTTGCTAAATCCTGGTACCAGGCTCCTCAGCAGTGCTTCTTGTAATACGCCACGGAAACCACACTCCATACTTCCCATTGTTGTTCTTTATATTATTACAATTCTTTTTTATACACATAACCAGGCTAGTTTTGCGGTGGAGGGGGGAGAAGAAAAAAAAAAAAAAAAAAAAAGAATTTCCAGGCATAAATAATATAAAAAGGCAACCATTTTAAAAAACAAGATACATTCATATGACACTACTACAAAAAAATAAATAGTGACTCTCTCTGTTATAATTAACATCCCCCGTCACTCCCTTTCAGCGACTCTGCTGTGCAGTTACTGGCGTTAAGTGGGGACAACGGTCACTTCCTCAGGTTTCCTGCAGCTGGAGCTGCCGAAGGTCCCCAGAATCGTTTAAGGTGACTCCGGATGAACTCCATCCTGGTTTTTCCTTACAGTCCTTCGAAACAGGCTGCAGAATAAGGGGACTCCAGCTCAAAATGTGGTTCGATGTTTCCGAGTGCACGCAGCTGTCGCCTGCAAAGCAAGAGCAGGGTGGGTTGGTTGGTGGTTGCTGCTTTTGGTTTTTTGTTTGTTTTTTGTTTTTTGTTTTTTTTTTTTAAATTAGATCATCTCCTCTTTCAGCTCAATGGACGCACAAGCCCCAAAAATTCAGATTAACAGAAGAGGATGATGCCTTTTGAGCTCAGGCTCGTTCCCACCGTAGCAGGCACAAAACACTGGGCAGCAGCTCGGAGCAGCAGCTCTATCCCAGCACACTGCGTCGGCACCCGGATCAAAGAGGTCAACCCAACTCCCACCTACATTTCTGTGCCCGTTCCAACCTACAGGACGGCTCCAGGCTGCCACGGCTGCCTGCTCGTTAGGGGAAAACTCAATCAGGCAGCATTTCAGCAGTTTCGGGAGGCCGCAGGTACGCTGTAGGCGAAGGCAACGGCGAGCCAGCATAAATCAGTCACAGCCTCATTGCCTGCTTGGCCAGCTCCGTTTACAGGCATCAAGGAGGAAGGGCAGGACAGCCACAGGCACCGGAGCATCCCTGCTCCTATCTTCCACCATGGGAAAGGCAGGACGCTTAATCTTCCTCAAAAAGCCTTTGTGGGCTCAATTACGAGCTCCTCCGCAATGAATGAAGCACCCTGCAGCTGTCCCATGGAATATTCCCGGCTCCAAAGCTGGGTGCTGCCCTCTCCAGGATTCCTTACCGTCCGTGTAATCCCCGGGGAGCTGGTTCATGCCTTCTCGACAGCAGGGATGCTGGGCGGAGGGCGGCTCCGCTTTCTCCCTGCCGGCTTCCTCCAGCCGGGCGCTGCACTCCGGGACGGCGGAGGCCAAGCACATGGCCACCATGACGTGGTGGTTCAGAGGTTTCATCTCCAAACCGTCCTGCTGGTAAGGTGCTACGACGGGCACGACGCTGCTGCCGCCGAAAGTGCCGTTGGTTTTGGTGAAACACCTGCAGGCGGGACATAAGCCAAAGCAGGGTTACGCCGAGCCCCTCCTTTCCACCGCTTATCTCGAGAAGCTTGCAATTTTTAAGTACTTTACCGCGTGTCATTCACTGCAGCAACAGCCAAAGAGCTTGCCAAATAAGTTTTACGTACATTTTTTGATCAATCCTGACATTAAGAAAAGGATTGAGCGTTTTTTTTTAACCCCAACGGACAGCCGAAAACGTTCCAAAATATGTGCTCGGTTACATCCCCTGTCAGTTGCGACCCGACGACCTGACTTGCGAGTCCATTTCTCCATCAAGGCAGCCCTATAAAACAGGTTTTCACTGCCAAGAAAAAGAGCTCAGGTTTGAAACCCAAACAGCAAACTGAAGTACCTCGGAAAAGAAATACTAATCGTTATCGGAGTGAGTGCAAATTAGAAAAATATATGCAATATTATAAATATAACCCACCCCCTCTGTTGTGTAACTCAGATTGTGGCCCTATAATATGTGCATAAAGGCTGTGAAACTGAAGTTAAACTGCTAAATCAATTGTTACAGCCAAGCTATTTAACCTCTAAACAAAAAGGAGCTGAACCTTAAGAGACATGCATACCACTGCAGCAAGCAGGGAAAATGCCTACAGTGTTTGGAGCCCCGTGAACAACGAGGCCTCAGCGAACATTTATATAAGCAATTCCTACATAAGAAACCCCAAAAAAAAAAAAAATCACACTTCAATGTGGTTTTCTACAAAACCATAATTACCGCAAGAAGTTCACTTGTAC